AATGATCTACTACCCATCGATTACACCATCACCACGGGTAACCTCAAATTGGTGAAGATATTGATGTCTTACTATCATCGACATATGAGCCTCGGTGGCCATTTCACAAACGCAGTGTTACACGCCGCGCGCTGCAACAATAGTGACATTCTGGAGTATTTTAAGACAGCGCTACCGAGTATCTTGGGAGAAGCTTCGACCATCGATTCGCTCTTTGACATTATTATCGCCAATGACAATCCGTCCCTCCTACAATGGTGGCTTTACACGTTTCCAGGAAGAAGGCAGACCGAAAGCGTCAGCAACCAGTTCCTGAAAGCGGTGTTGGAGATATGCAAGACTCACGTTGAAAAGACGGCGTGCCTCATCCCCCTCCTGGAACAGTGGGTAAGGATGGAAGCTGCGTCGACAGCACAAACGGCCCTTCTTACTCGAGTGAACTCTATCAGTCTACCCAAAGATTGCTTGCCAGTGATTGTTCAAGTTGGCAAAACTTCCCCTGTCGAAATCACTCTATCACAGCCGGAGTTCCTCACTCCGGGGGATACGGATAGTCTTCTGGATACCGCCCTAACCCTACCTCTCAGTAATGCCTTGCCCATTCTCCAAGTGATCATCTTGCACAACCGAAGAAAGGAAGAACACTGGGTCAAAGAATCCATTCTAGGGCCTAGGGATCAATTTTCGAGACGCCTCCTGCCCTGGCTGAAACAGCTCTTCTGTGCCATTGTACCAGAGAACGGGGCGATCATCACGGACGAGCTGCAAGCCTCCACACTGTTACAGTTGCTGGAAGTGCTCCCTGACGAGGCTCTCGTTGATCTTCTAGCTAGCCATTGTCCAGATTACCAGCTGCACGACCGCTGGAACCACAATATCCTCTACGCGTTAGCGCATCGACCCACGGCACAAGCGTTGCAAGTACTCAAGGCCCGCAACCTTCTACCGCAATTGGACCTAAATGCAACCGATGACTACGGCTGGGGCCCCCTGCACGTTGCGGCCACCCGCGGTTACAACGAGGTCGTGATCTTTCTTCTCGTGCACGGTGCCGACCCCCAGCGGCGAAACGACCGATCAGAGACCCCAGCCAAACTCGCCGAGATGAGCGGCGCCACCCCGACCATCGCAATCCTCGACCGTTGGGAGAACAGCCCTATCGGGGTTCTTCATCGGGCCTTCATGGAACAGCACGCAACCGCTCTGCAGACCCACCCGGGGATGGAGTGGGAGTGGGCATTGCAGCTCTCAGTCTGGCGAGCATTGGATAACCTATACGCAAAGGCAGAGGATGCCGGGGAGCCCATCTCGTCTGTCACTCTAGACTCGGTGGCCAGAGGCATCCGAGTTACTTCCCCATCTTCCTTTCCCGACGACTATTCATACTACATGAGGTCACGACAGATGTGGATCAGACAATAATATCTATTTTTATATCAGAATCTAACCCAGGGTCCCCCAAATCAATTACTCCGTCCAGAGTATAGTTCACTGGTAGGATATTTCTCTTAATTCACAGCACACGGGAATTCATTCGTCCATGTTATGTTTGTCCTGATGAAGGTGATAATTCAGAGAATCATCCCGGGGGCTATCCTCCCAAGGGAGGGGAGCCATAATACACCCTGCTACATACGATAGAACCTCATGCTAAACTAAGGGAGCATAGAGGAGTTACTTTATAAATAGATTTATGCCCTCGGCGCCGCAGGCCTGCGTGGTCGGCCGCTGGCGAAACACATATAATATTGATGTCACAAGCATGCCATTTCTACTTTCTGCCCATATATGTAGCACACGTATATTTATATCTCCCATGATTTGCGAGTTTGGAAGTATGATCAACATATTGATTATCTAAAGAATTAGTAACGAAGGGACAAGCGCCAGGGAACCTCTGAAACCCGTCGAATGATGACAATATGATCTTCAACGACCAAGCACCAGAGACTTGGCCCTAAGATATTATGAAAATAATGTACGTATCATCATACTTTCGCCCAAATCTTCCCCTTGGACAGGTAAAGGCGAGCCAGAGCATAGAACAACGTCCCGCCCGCAAGCATCACACCGGTGAAGACCTGCAACTTCCAGTACTCGCCATCCGCCGCCGCAATCAAGGAACCACCGATAGGGCTGCCTACAAGGGCCGAGATTGACATGAAAGCATACAGCGCTCCTGACCGTGTGCCAATCTCATGGATATTCGAGATCTGGGCGACCAAGGCTGGGCTGAGTGCTGTGTATGTGCCCGAGCTGAATCCAAACGCTGCAGCGAACACGATGGCCGTTGCGTTGGAGTGGCCGGGGAGCCATAGCCCGAGGACGAAGATTGTCGACAGGCCCGCTGCGCAGATTGAGATGTTGAAGTTGCCGAATTTGTCTGCGGCGTAACCTGGTAGGATTCGGCCGATGCCACTACAGCGTTGGTGTTGGTCAGCATGCCCGTTTTTTTTTTTTTTTTTTTTTTTTTTTTTTTTAATTGTGACCGAGCTCTCCCAAGCTCGAGTTTACTTTCAGAGTTGACATCTTACCTTGCAGCATTGTATATCGAGACTAGATACCCGGCGAGACCCGTACTCATCCCCACATGCTCGCCGTATGTGACCATGTAGGTAATAGGAATAAACATCCCCATCGAATACAAGAAGCTCGCCAGCGTCACCAGGACGAAGGGCACATCAGTAAACCCCTTGAAGTAACTAGTCAAAGTCAAAGCCGTGGGTTTCGGCCGCAAACGCGAGCGAACAGTCAAATTCGTCACAGCCAGCAATCCCAGCATCAAGAAGGCGCATATACGCATCGCCCAACCAAATCCATGTCGCGTGATGATGTGATCAACCAGGATCGGCATGATAACGCCACCTAGGCTTGAGCCGCTCGCGGTAATGCCCATTGCCAGAGCGCGCTTTTGGCGAAACCAGGTCGCCACGCAATTGAACGAGGAGTAGAGGACCATGCTTGCGCCAAGGGGGCTGCAGATCGATTGGGAAAGAATGAACTGGTAGTATTGTGAGGACAGCGAAGCCATCATTAGTCCGAATACGTGTAGCAGGGATCCTGTGAGGAGAAGCCATCGGGGTCCGTATGCGTCAAATAGCCGGCCAACAAAGGGGCCCTAGGGGGTGATTAGATGAGTCAGTTTGGAAATTTCTCAGTTATATTCTTCTTTTTATTGAGAACTCATGGCAACAATAGAACGTTAAACGCGGATGAGAATATGTAACTTACCGTGATGAACATCATGAACATAGATATGGCAGGAATCCACGACACTGTGCTTGCCGACAAGGTTCGCAGCTGGTGGGTTTGATAGTATGCCTGGAAAATTCCCACGCCTGCGCAATACATAATGAATAAGCCAAAGTATTTCAAGAGTAGATACGTGGCTCACAATTTGTCCAGCCGAAGCTCGTAAATAGTCCAAAGAACGCTCCGACTACTACGAGCCATGCACGGAGACCGCCGTCTGGGAAGTCATTCGACTTTGTCTGTGAAGGGCCTGTGTCCTGGCGTTCCTTCTCGTCGGTACCGTCTTGTGTGTCCATCCTGGCAGCGATGAAAGATTTCAATGGGTGGATTGAATGATTTGGCAAGAAAAATGATATGAAAATGTGGAATCAAAGACGAGGAACCTTGATCCGGATTCGTTTTGTGCTTGTACTTGCGTCAGGTATTTATATTACTGCAATGAAGCTGTGAGTTATTGATTTACTTCTATATCAATCAGAGACTAGATCTAATCAAGTATAGTCTGTGGGGAAGGCGATGGATTCTAAGCAAGCTGATTGGATCGGAGGTCCGCGGTGGTCCGAGTGACCAGGGACATCAGCATATTGAGTCATCGATAACATCAATAACTATCCACGTCCTCCCCACAAGCATCTTTCCGTGCACTAAGAGCTTGTTTATGTACCTAGAGATGCACTCGCTTAAGCGGCCAATCCCTGACCAGGCCATAGGGCCGACAAAACGAAGTGCTTGGCAACAGCCAGCGTCATGTGAGTTCTGCCGGCTCAAGAAGATCCGATGTGACAAGCAACGCCCTTGCTCCAGTTGCGTAGCTAGAGATACAACCTGTGAATATGTTTCATGTAAGCTGAGTTACAATGTTGCTTATGCTTGGAAGTTGACCTATGCAGTGGCAGGAGGGACCCTGCATCCAGCGGTCCAAACAGGTGTCAATGATAGTGCTCCGGCTACGTACATAGGCACTCCGTCGTTAGAAAGGTCTGCCCTCAATAACTACGTGATTTGACCAATTGCGCTAATTCTCACTCAGAGATATCCAGGAGGTTAAGGAGCGCTTGAAGAGGGTAGAACAACTGTTGCTGGAACGTCAGAGCCCACTCCAAGGCTCAAATCCGGGGGACGTAGATTCTCTGGTTATTACTCCCCAGCCTGAATCCAAGGCAGTATTGCGTAATGTTAACCACGAGGAGTGGGAAAATCTGGAATCCATTGCAGCGTCCCCGCAGGCTGAAGGATTGAAGGATTCAAAAACTGAAAACAAAAGTCTACAGAGCCAAGCACCCTCGGCAATAACGCAGGAGTGCGGTATAAATCGGCAGCTCCCTCCGGTTGACACAGCTAAGGCACTGCTTGAACACTACGTTCAAGGAGTAGACTATTTGGGTCGTGTAGTCCATGCCCCATCGGCACGCAGTCTCCTTGAAAGTGTATATTCTCAGCTGTCACAGTCAACCAGTCCTCCCGCCGAAAGTATCATATTCCTTCTAGCCATATTTGCTTCCGCGTCATTCTATCTAGAATGTGGGCAGCTCCATCTATCATCTGACGGGCTACACCTGCACGCAGGACAATCCCACCGTTGGAAAGAGACCACTCTTCAGCAAATGATGCAAATGGATCGGCTTTTCTCGTGCTCAATGATGTCATTGCAATCAGCTTTGGTCATCCTAGTCCTTCTTTGGGATTCAGAAGGGCAATCAAAAAGATTTCATACTCTGAAAAGCCTCGCGTATGCGAAGGCAATTCAAATGGGGATGCATAATGTAGATGCAGGATCATCAGACGTTGGGCAAGATCTCGAACAGGAGATGAAGCGCCGTATATGGTGGCACCTCACTTGTACAGATTGGTTAGTTATATGCATGCTTTCAAAAGCAGACTGAATCTTTATGACTAACCATACTACTCACATCTCAGGTTACTTGGAAGCGCACCCGGCCCACAGCAGGGTATTTACATGATCAGCCCTCACCATACGACGGTCAAGTGTCCTGCCAATATCGAAGACGAAGATCTGACCGAAGAGGGTATTCATCGACACCCGAAACCCGACCGTCACCCAACATCGATGTCATTCTTCCTCTGTCGTCTCAAATTCGCCCAACTCTGTCGCGAATCCATGGACGCAATTCAATATGCAAAGACTACACAACCATCACAACTCATATACCCGCTCATACTGGAAATAAGCGACAAGTACATGTCTTTCCTCAGGGAGCTACCGTGGTTCTTCCGTCTTGAAGACGAAGAAGACGAGGCGAAACGTACAGACTTGACCAAGAAGCAGCCCTACATCTCGCATCAGCGCGCTGTGCTTCTCTATGGCATTTACTCACGCCTGGGTCGCCTCCACCGCCCGTTCGTCACCAAAGGTATCGCCGACCCTGGCTTTGCAGGTTCATACAATATCGGTATCGAGTGCGCGGAGAGACTTCTACGAATCCGTCGCATGACGGCGGTCCACGGGAGTCAGCTGCTTGACATATTCGGCCGCTCGCAGAGTGTTGACCAGCATACTTTCAATGCTATGCTGCTGCTCACAATAGATGTGATGGCGCATCCGAACTCGCCTGATTCAGAGCGCCGCAGAGCGGACGTTATTGAGATATGCCACATCTTGCAAGATAAGCATGTAAGGTTGGGTCAGCCTGCGAATGGAATTAGTCGAGCCGTGCAAATGCTGTTGGATATCGTGCGGAATTCGAACCGGCCCCACATTAAGGACAAAGATCGTATTGACAGCACCGGTCAGGTTGGCTCAAATACTGCGCAAAGTATGGATAGTCTGGTGGTTCCGGATCAATGCATGATGGCATCGGAAGCATCGTATCAAACGGCGTGGATCGACGAGTTCCTTTCAATATCTGATAATCAAGATATGGACACCCTTTTCGATGAGCTCTGGGGATCTTACTCAGAGACGAGCATTCCATCTCGGGAGGGCTTCTTGGATCGGGAGGGGCTATCCTAGTGGCTTTGATGGGGCACGTCGTCGTATAAGGGTATTAGTGTTATGTTAAGAGAGGACAAACTCGAGGCTACTTGAGATACAGGCATAATTGACTTGTACTCGCTTATCAGACCAAAGCGGCCAAAGTCTTCTTCACAGCGCCAAGAGCCCTGACCTACAGACCTGGTCCGTGCAGGTGTCTTGACCCAAACCCACCAATAGGACCTCCAATCCTCCGCACATGAACCCTGCATAGGCCATATCATGGTCACAAGAAGCGAGATTCATGCAGGCCTGTGCATGAATACTATGTAGGACAGAATGACCCTAGTGACCAATCATATCACAGATACAGTAGCACAAGCATGCATGTCAACCTCAGCACAGGCCAGGAACTAATGCACGGTGTTGCAGGACGATGGCTCTAAAATGTAGATCATCACGTGGTGTGTCCAATCATATCCATGGTTACCATCTACAATTGACCCACAGGATATCTGGGGGTGATTGGACTTGTCCGGGCCTGGATTTCTGATATTTTCGGGGGGAAGACACTACTGCTTCCTATTATGGAGGAAGAAACATGTTATCGGTTCTAGCTATACTACTGCATTATTCTCTAGCTTCGGAGGAGAAGAAAGCACAGTAGGCAACCTACTATCCCTCTCTCAGAACAAGAACTTCTAATCCACACTTAGCACGGTCGCATATTCTTGATTCTGGTCTTTTGTTGATAAAAATGGTATAGCTGCTCACTAGAGATAGTATATTACTTATGTATATGTTGCATCAAGGCATATTGACGATGACCAGCTCGACACCATGTCTTGAACACCCGCAGCACCGAATTCCATCTCCATCGATATCAGCGTTCAGCTCTTCTAGAGTAATACCCAGTAACTTTATAGGCAAACGGATAGGGTTTGCATTTGGCTGATATCCTGACAGACAGTGTGAGGTGTAAAGAGGTCTTTGACGAAGCAGCGACAGCAAGGATGCATTGAAAAGAGCTCGTGGGATCTTGTTCTGTGCATTGTGAAACCGAGCCGAGTGTGTCTCCATTCGGTGGTTATGAGTCCAGGTCCCGGTCCACAGATATGGGACGAGGACGATACCTGCCGGAGACTATTTGACACATGGGGCGTTGCTGATACACAAAGCTGAGCTAGCGATTGCAGTATGCCTTGTAGACCACGCACGCAAAGCAGCAATACCCTTCTAGCTGTTCTTCGCTAGTCCATATTGAAGACCCCAGAACTGGCACAATGCCATAGACCTCGTCATTAACTCTCTCTCCTCATTCCGAGCCTTGTGTATGATTCCTAATCTCGTTAGAAAGCTGTACCGTGAAAACGGATTTTCTTCTCAGGGACTTACCCATGTATGCTATGAGTTGTGCTAGTCCAGAAGTATTCTTTTGCCTCGACTACAAGATTGCATGACTCATTTGCGGCGGTTTCTATCGGATGCTATAGTCGGCAAGCCTGGTCAAATTGCGCTTCTTTACGAAAAGAAATTATCGATTCTAGCTTGCGTTCACAGTGGAGAAACAGATTCTGGGCGTTCTGCATGTGAATTCGTTGTCCAGGAGTGGGAAGCGAGTATGTATTACTATGGCATCCAGTCGGCATCTCATAGCCGCCCAATAAATTGCCCTTAATTGCTAGATACTGAGACGAGCACTTGCCCAAAAACAAGCAAGACAGGATACCACTGCAGGGACATGAATATGTGCAACCTATTCAAAGCGTATTTTAAGTAAACACGTCAGTCGCATAACGCATGCTCGCCTTCAAGTGATCGAAGAACTTCTCAACCTCCTCATCATTCACCTCAGGCGGGACATCTTCCTGCTTCGTCTCCAACGCAATCCGACGACGCTCCTTCTTCACATCAACATAGATATTGTTAAAGGCTTGGCGCACAGCCTTGCCTAGGTCCGCACTTCCACAAACATAAATCCTAGCCCCCTGCTCAAATAGCGAGACAACTTCGTCTCGGTCACTTGTAATCCGGTCCTGGATGTGCTGGGCTACGGAGCCGTCGGCGGGACGGCTGTATGCCCATCTGACGTCGACGATACCCTTGCGAGACCATTCAGCGAGCTCTTCTGCGTGGATGTCGTCCTTGCCTTTGGTGCGGCAGCCGACGTAGAGAATAGCCGGGGCGGGCTTTTCGGTAATAGAGTCGCTTCGGCTGAGGATCTTTTCAGCCCGGTCCATGACAAAACCGCGGAAAGGCCCTAAGCCGCTTCCTGCGCAGGCCATTATCATTGGCGTGTTCAGGTCGGAGGGGGGCTTGAAGCCTGAGTGGGAGGGACGGACAGCGATGTGAACGCGTTCGTCGGGTTGGAGAATGGAAAGGTAGGTAGAGGCTACGCCCATGTACGGCTCGTCTGTGCCGGAGAGAGAGGGTGCGTTGAGCACGGACACTGTAATTGAGCATTCTGTCGGGTCCGTAAGGGGTGAGGATGAAATAGAGTACTGGCGTACTCGCATGGGCGGGAGCATGGCTAGAAAGTCGCCGAGGGGTAGGCCGATGGAAGGATAACGATCCAAGATGTCCAGCAAGCTGAGGCGTTTAGTGACAATCTCCTCATTGAAGCGGCTAGGACTGTTGGCCAAGTATCGCAGCTCGGCCTGGGATTCTTCGTCGGCCACAGCTGCATCTGCCAGAGCAATCAGGTCTCGTTTGGACGCGGGTTGGGACAGTTCAACATAGGAGGAGAGGAGAGCGAAGGCAGAGATAGGGGTGTCAATGGGAATGGCTGACGGTCCGCTTTGGGTCTGGGATGGCTTGCGAACAGTCAAAAAAGCATCCCAAGGCAGTTTGAACCGACGCATTGCTCGACGGACGATGCTCGTTGGGTTCACGGGAAGCACGGCAAGGTAATCACCGCACTGGTAGGTCATGTCGCTTGGAAGCTTGATTCTCACCAGTCGTTTCGCTGAAACGTCGGGTGCTGTTAGGAGTTGGTTCTCAATCACATATCCTTCCTGCAGCTGAAGACCCAAGGTTGTCACTCGCTTTTCCGAGCTGAATTCGACTTGTAGGCCTGAGCTGGCTTTCTTGCCAGCCTGACCCTGAGCTTTGGAGCCAAATTTCGCACTTATGGCAGGCCATAATGCCGACTCACTCCAGTTATCGAAATCAGTAAACATGTCGGCGATGGCGGTATCAACTAATCCAATATCACACAAGCGATTTCCACCATGCTCGCCCACCAGCTCGTTAATGGCTTTTGGAATCCGGTAAAAGGTAGCAGTCCAATCATCTTGATGGAATCGGTGATCAGCGAGTTACATAGAATAGAAAACGCGTTGATGATAAGGGATACTCACGATGTCCACAACCGAATACGGCAAAATTTATGCCCTCGAGTTCATTATCCTTCGCTCCGCTTAGCCACTCGAAAAAGTGGGCCGCATTGTCAGCGGGTTGGCCTTCATAAGATGCAGCAATGAAAACCACAGGATCTCCTTTCGGAACATTCTCGGTGGCTGAATCTAATGAATTGACTCTGGCACTAAATCCCCATGCGGCTGCATCATCTGCCAATCTCCGAGCCAAAGCCTCGCAGGTTCCGGTGTTGCTACCGAAGAAAATGTGCATCGGCTTCATGTCTCCCTCAGGAAGGGCTGCGTCTTTCTTACGTTCCCTGCTAGCTACCTTGGAAGATTCAGAAGGCACGGATCCACTGTTCAAAGCTGACTCCAAGGTTATCGGGTCCAGCCCATGCCTGAGAGTAGCTCTCATCTTGAAATCCTGCGGCTTGATGGTGAGTGTCTGTTTGATCCGCAGGTCATAGCTTGGATCATCCAGCTGAAAGTTGAAATTTTGCAACAGCAAAGCAATGGCCAGTAAGCCTTCTTGCCAGGCAAATGGCCGCCCAATACAGCCTCGCATGCCATTTCCAAAAGGCTTCCAGGCGTTCCGAGGGAGACTGTTGAAATTCTCATCCAGCATCCTCTCCGGCTTGAAGTCCTCGGCGTCCGCACCGTAGACCTTGGGGTCGCGGTGCAATTTCGGGAGAAGCACCGTGATTGGCTCGTCCTTGTTAAGAACATATTTTCCATTGCCCAAGGTCACAGGGTCTTCTTTGTTCTTAGTCGGATGCGCATGGACTCTTATGGCACTCGCCGGGGGGTTAAGGCGTAGTGCTTCTCGCATGACTGCATTGATATACGGCAACTTGGGGAGATCATCCACGGCAATCTTCCGTCGGCCAATCACTCTGTCCACTTCTTCCTGTGCCTTTTTATACGCAGGTGCATTTTTGAGTAGATAATAGAAAACAAAGGACAGCATTCCAGATGTAGTTTCGTGGCCTGAGGGAGAAAAAGGTCAGAACATGATAAATCATAACGACCAAACTCAGACAAAGTACCTACCTGCAATCAAAAAGGTAATCATGTTGTCAATGATTGACTCATCACTGAGGCCCTTCCCTGACTGAGGGTCTCGGCCAAGGATGAGAGCGTTGAGCAGGTCCTTCTTGTCTGATGGATGCTTCCTCCTATCTTCGGTCAAATCCTTCGCCAAATTCCGCATATAAGAAATATCGTTCCAGAAAGAATTGTTATCGCTCGTGGGCAGTTGGTTTAACAAAGATGGTCGCTGTGCCCTATAGCTAGCTACCTGCAATCCACCAACCATCGCTTCTACGAAAGGGTGCATGCTATCGTGGTAGAAAGAGTTGAAGCGGGTTCCCATGGCGCAGAGAGCGATGGAGTCGAGAGTCAGGCGGGTGAAATCTTCCGTGACCACAATGGGAGTCTCCGGTCCCTGTCGAGCCCATTTCATGACGAGCTGGTTGGCAATGTCTTGCATCTCTGTGGCAGATTGACAATTCATTAGTCCGACGCAATAGGGGTACAATTGGCGATGGGCTGCTTACCATCGAACATGGCCCTAATAGATAGGGGCCCAAAAGCAGGAATAAGGACACGGTGCGCAAGCGCCCAATTCTCTTCGCCGGGGTACCGGGCTGTGAATAAACCATCGTGAAGAAGATGGCGAAGCTGGCCCAAACCACCATCTACCGATTTAGCAAATCGCTCCTCATTGCACGCTTCATCGACGAGTTCTTGAGTAGAAATCACCACTCTCGACACGCCGAAAGTGGTCAGGCGGTAGATTGGACCTTGGCAGATGCATCACAGTTAGCAGAGATAATCATCTCAAAGGAAGGAAGAAAGAGTCAAGGCTAGCTGACTCTGGAGTGAGACGCAAAAGGGATAGAAAAAGCAAACATGACATTGTGGAGGGGTAAGGGCGGGGTTACCATATTGATCTGCCAGCAACTCAAAGCTTCGGATTGGCATCTCCTGGTCAATATCGTAGACATTTCCCAGAAATGGAACGCCTTTGGGGCCTGGGATAGGAACATGCTTTACGCTGCTCATGATGGTGTCTGGATCTGGGTTGGCGCCAATTGCACTAGAGCTCTTGATGGAGAAGATGATTAGTTCTCACAAAAGGTCTGGTGGAACAAACAACACGGGGTTTAAGTTTCTCTGCGCGACCACAGATCACCTGACGGACACACTTTGATGATGAGTCGAACTGAACTTGAGAGGGGACAGACACATGCAGGAAGGAGACTTTATACCTCGTAGAATTTTGAGAATATTGCGGTCGGGGGGAACGTATGCCTGATGATGGTGCATAAGTCCAGTGCAGATGAAGTGTCATCATCACTCCACGCCATCATATGCGGAAGGGAATCCCCAGCCAGAAGGCCGCCCGACTGCAGTGCATACCAGGGCAACCATACTTAGTGGCGAACGTCATGGGGCTGATGAGGGTGGATCATGATCCAATGTAGATCAATGAGTCCAGAGGACGGGATCGTAAGTAATGGAGAAACCAGCGCATCTACCGCGGCCTGTAAGCACTAGCGGGAACCTCGGCCAGCCAGAGATGGAGGTTTACTATTCATAGCTGGGGCATGAATTATGATTAGCAAAGGGGGGCATATGATCGGTCCATCGGTATGTCCGGACACGGAGATCGGTGACAACGGACCGATGGCTAAGGTTAGTAGATACTCCGTGACAACTCCAAAGGAAGTAAAAGCAACAATCCATGGATGCTCTCTTTTTATGCCACTTATGCGTTTCGGTGGATCCCCATGATGCTTGGTATGTGCGTATGATCAGTCATCATGGCCCCCACTTTGCTATCGAACTGGTCTCGTGGCGCAATGGTAGCGCATTAGTTTCCGGTACTAGAGGTTGTGCGTTCGAGTCGCACCGGGATCGTTCTTTCCTTTTTGCCATCCGACGGTTGTAATACTTTCTTTTTTCGCACCGCATCTCACTCAACAAGCATCCTTGCGTCATTAAATCTCCGTCTTGAACCATGTTCCCGGTTCACAACCTTATCGCTCAGTCTCGAGACCTGTCGACCGTGCTGAAGAGGTCGCATATGCGAATGCCCAGAGATAATACACCCATCAACAATAATATTAAAGCACCGTAGATGATCGTAGGCGGCTACAGGACGTGACAGACGGCGGTATGACTCGGTCTGCATCACGATGGAAGCCTATACTACAATTGATAGGCCGACGGGGCTAGTCAGTATATCAGTCAGGGTGCTTAGCTGATTTCGCAAAGTTATAGAAGCAATAATCTGCATAGCCCAGAAAGAATCCGTTTAAATGCAAGTTGGTATATATACAAGAGGAAATGAACGCTCGTCCTAGGGCCACAGGACTAGAGAAGATGATGGGAACAATATGAACAAGATCAAGAATAACTCAGTAAAAGTAGGATAGTGCGCCGCTCTCCCGATCATGGTGCTCACTCAATCTGGTTCAAGAACAACTCCAGCGCGACCTTGGCCAGCAAAGCAGGCGCTGGTATGGATTGCTTCGCCGCGTTGGTGTGATGGGCACGCAGAAGCTTCATACAAATCCCCACAGAAAGAGGTAAGATTGGCACCCCTGGAACAAAGGTTGGATTTATCGTTTTCGTCATGGACACAGAGGTCATTTTTGAAATGGATACTTCAGCCGGCTAGGAGACTGGCTGGTAGCCCTTATGTTTCCATTCGCTTTGTTTCCACTCGGACTGGAAGTTGTTCATCTCTGTCCGTTCGGAATCCCACTTCGCATCGTTCAGGGCATGCTCGAGACGGCCCCTCTTGCGCTGCCGCACACAGAAGAAGATGAAACCAGCCAGACAACTGGCTCCGACAGCTGCTACGCCAATGCCGACACCAGCCTTTGCGCCACTTGGTAGCTCGTTCCATTTTTCGGACAGTGACTTCGGAGGAGGCTTGTTAAGCTGTTCCACGGTGGTCGAATTACCACTAGGATTGGAGAGTCAGTATTGTAGGTATAGTGGGAGAAATCGGCTATAGGGAGCTACTTACGACACGACCTTGATGCTCTCCCAGGATCCCGAATGGTCTGAGTACGTATACTCCTTGCCGGTGTGGAAGTCATGCACGCGAACCTTCTCAACTACCATGGTGTACGGGCCAGCCGAGTAATCAATCTCGCCACCTGCCCATACAATGGTACCATGAGGCTGACTGGGATCGCCGGCAGGCCAGATTCCAAAGCGGATGTTGCTGGGGGTCTGGGGGAAGTTCTTGCCACCCACAGCATCTTCATACTTCAGTGTGCGGACCAATTGCTGGTCAATCCACCACTCGACCTTTTCACTCGTCCAGTAGGTGGTATAGTTATGGAATTCCGTGTCGGCATTAGGAACGTAGTGGAAGCCACCCCGGTCGAAAGACGTGTTGTTGCCCTTGCCGAAATAGTTGGACTGTACCTCACTGGTGTTGTATCCCACCCACTCCCAGTCAATCTCGTCCAAGTCATCCGATTGGAGCACCACACTGCTCACTACACCACCACCCTTGGCCATCTTGACATGAGACTCGACAATGCCAAAGAAGATGAAGAAGTTAGATTGCATAGTGGGCGAATCCATCTTTTGGGCGATGGAGAATTCCGCACCCTCATCGGTGATGCCAATATTGCCGTTGGTGACATTCCAGATCGTGTCGTCGAGGGTAGAGTTGAAGTACCAGGTATGATTGGTACCTAAGGCTGCGTCTGCAGGACATGTTGTATTGAGTGGGTTACAGTTGCTGAAAGTCTGAGCGGTAACAAGACTAAGACTGGCTACCAGCAGCGCCAGTACATGAAAGAGTGACATGATGGCAGGCTGTGTTGTCGAGGGTCACCACTCCCCAGAGATCTTGGTTGCAATGAGCGGAGCGACTCGGGTCAAGTAGCGGGTCAAGGATCTCTCCCGAATGTGATAAAACGTTAACAGAGGGATCTAAATGGAGAGATCGAACCCTACAATGGCGTTGTCGAATATCCAACTGTTCCCCACAAAGAAAAAAAAGAGTGACGTCTATTGAATGAATGGCAGTGCGATCGAATCGCACGAGGTGTGTTTGATGCCCACCGGCAAGGGAACGAAGGGGAGCAGGAGAAAGACAGGAACGAGATGAAACGGAGAAGAACAAACGACAGGAGAGGAGAAGAACGAGAGGGTATGACGGTTTTCCTTTTAATTAATTTAGAGCCATGGCATCCAACCCACACATAGGCGTTGGCAAACACTTTGCTTTCCCTTTTTTTTTCGTCCCCTCATCACTAATATCCGAGTCATGCTTATTTTTAAACCAGCATGTCTCTCTTTTTTCTTTCCCTACATTGGATGTCACTAGTTCGGCCCTAAACATTAAGGGGCACTTTTGAAACAGGAAACTGCCCGACCAAGAGGGTATGGCTAAACGGTATTGGGCCTAGCGGGCTGCCGATCCACTCTGGTTTGGCCACTAGCGTGGTCCCTGACCCTGACGCTAGTCTGATCTGGAAAGGGTCGCTTGTACCCGCCAAGACCCTGCCGCGATGGGCGATAAGCAACGCTCAGGCACCCAAATCCAATCAGCTCAGGGGAGCGTCGTTGGATCTTCCTGAAGATTAAATGAGTTTGTGTTAGTATGGGTTAGTCTGATTTGATCCGGGCCAGAGATAACAATTGCCACTGTGCGGGATTCGGGGAAGGGTCCTGCCAACAATTCATCAGGCTGACACCCACAGTGTAAAGCCTCTGTTCCCTACACTCTTCATTAATAACAAGGGTCAAATTTGACCTTGCTTCGGAAGCATCCCAGGCACCAACATCCTGCACCTGGCCAAGACCCTTGGCCTGTCGAAGCCAAAGGCAGTCTCAGCAGGCGAATTACTAGTGGCGGGGCCGGCTGGGGAAGGTCTCAGCACAAGGCCAGTGCTGTGGCAGTGGCTGGTGGATGCCATTGAACAGTGGACACCACTGCGGCAAATTTTAGGTCCGTTAAATGGGGTGGTAATTTTGGAGTCAGGAGCCAGTAGAGACACCGCAACCTCCCGCAAGGTTCGCCTCCTTGTGGATATAATAGGCGAACCATAATTCTTCACCCTACAAAGATTAAGATATGAGGATCAGCAGGAGGTCTCGGTGCTGCAGAGGCAGAACATGCAGATACAAGGAGCGTTTTCAAGGTGAGGTTGCAGACCGCTACCTACCAACTTATGCAGAGCGTGCAGTTTCGGATTTGCCAAGCATTCTTTTACCCACTGCCAACAGCCGTTCGGATGAGCGCGAGGCCAAGATGCCGAACTGCAAAGAGGGTGCCTGACCTCGTATACCGTTAGACGCCATCATCAGGCAAGTTATGCGCTGTCCCGTTACCCTTGTGTTTAGTAGATTGTTGTACCTCGTTCGGTAGATTGTCGGCCCATGACTAGTGGGGAAAACTTACAGCCCCCTTTTTTGGGGGCTTAGTACCCGTCCACTGCTGTCAACAGTCCAAAGTAGATCCGCCATAATTTTGGGGCACATGACGAGGGAGCTCTGAGTGAACTGGGGTATAGTAGACTATAATTGCGGCTGTTTTCTCGTTTCATCTGTCTTGTTGTGATGTAAGGAAAAAATATTAAGCGTCGCCAAACTTGACAATCCATCCAAGCTCTTGTAGAAACTCTCGTACTGCGGCTGGAGTACCGTTATTATATATCCTGACAACAATGGTATCTAGGGGTGCTATTTCCTTTATCTGGGCATCGACCTCCAGGCATATCTTCCGAATGGACACATTGTTCATCTGGTCATTTGCGACCAGAATGTTGGCAAATTGTCCGAAGATGAGCATCTCCAATGTCTTCAAATTGGCACAGCTTTGTCGTAATAGCTGTAATCTTCGCAAGCCATCTGCGAGTCTCGGCTCTCTAGAGGCGCCTGATATGTGCTCGGTGACCGGAAAGTTGATGCATAGATGAGACAAGACCCCGGAATTTTTAGGTCCGATACAGTTTAGGAAGGACTCCAAGACAGTGCCTGGACGACACGCCGTCTCCATCTCGTGGAAGATGAACCGATTCATACTATACAAAGTCATTCTGGTCTCGTCCGATATTTGTCGGCTGACGTAGGTCAATGCAAGCCATGAGCCGGGTTTTTCGGGTGCAAAAGCTTCCAGTGGACATCCTGGGTCTTGGAAGATGTGAAGTGGATGAGGTAAAACGAGAACTTGTTTGTATATGTTGTTACGTATCTTGATAGGTAAATCCAAGAAATTGAGAGGCAATGGCGATGCTGATATTGTAGGCGTGTCTGCAGTACCTGAACAGGACATGATAAGAAAATATCGAAGCGACTGTGTTTGGTAGAAGTGAAGCTGTTCGGCAGCTCTTTGAAGCTAAGTATTTCTTTATCAAGCGAAACAAAGAAAGGTTTAGTGTTTCGTGATCTACATTAGTTAGCAGAAATGCAAGGTATTATACTTCTGTGGCATTGGAATCTAGCTACTCACGAATTTGTCAATACATCACCCGGGGATGTGCCATACTCTGCAACTCACTGGAAGATGTAAGCCAGATAATGACGCCCCTCCTTTCACAATTTGGCTTTGGAGGAAAGGAAGAAATGGTCGATAGAAAAGTGACTACAACAAAGGATGGAAGCCATGTGACTTGCGGAAGCGGGGGATGTCAGAGCCCTGCCTCTTTCCGAGAATTCCCAGCCCGTGGGATTGCTTCCCTACAATCCATGGTTGCATCAGTCCCACTGGATGCATCTAGATCTATTCTACGGAGAACGAAATGATCAACGAAACATGACAACTTTAAGTATTTTGAGCTTTTTAGTCCCTATGTTGATGCAAAGTTTTCGGCAGAATGTGCTGCCAAACTCACTACTCAAACAATATACAGTACTCCAAGCCAACCAAAGGATATGGGCATCAGTCGCTTCAATCCAAGGTTTACTGTCATTATTTCCATGGATATAGGACGTAGGTATCCATAGCAATAATATATTTGATTCTAACGCGCTTAGAGTTTCTAAGTTCTAGGAATCTCCTTTGTCGAGCGGCATTAGATGGGCGCAGACATCTCGCATCTTTAACCCGACCACACATAAACAAAGAAGCGATGATCGACAGTATTCTTGAAACAGCCAGTATATCAATATATAAATTGGTGAACCCAAACTAAGTCGCTGCTGTAGTCAATCTTACAAGAAAGTGCCCCATATACAGAGATGGATGCCATACCGCTTCCCGACCAGGTTTCTGAGCTCTACAATGACCTTCTTTCCCGCTGTGCACCCAATGAGCATAAAGATTGGGGACTCGCCATCACAGCTCTGAAGCTTCTCGCCATTACCCACAGACCATTTAGCATACTAGAGTTGTCTTGGGCCGTGACTCTGCATACCGCTCGCAATGTTAACACCGTTGACGAACTTGCCAAGCTAGTGGACCATAAAAAGCTCATGAGCATGATTCAGCCCTTTATCGCAGGCGTTGAGCTTGATGACTTGAGAAAATACCAAGTCCAGCTCATAGAGAAGTCCTTGAAGGATTTAATCAAGAAGAATTGGGCCACAAAATATTTGAATACAGAATGTCCACACTCCTTGGGAGACGATGGACAAGGATTCAGAAGTCCAGAAGCGTTGATATTGGATATATGTGTGCGGTATATTCTTTTAGATGAGATAGGCGTCAAACTCGTGTTCTCTGAAGAGCAGATTGCGATTTCGGAGCTTCCGCAAGCGTCCGACTTGTTCAACGACGAGAAAGACCCAGTCAAGTACAATTCTCATTGCTCGTGGGAAGCTTGGGAAGAAGATATGACTCGGTTCAATCCGACTGAGCGTGGATTGGGCGAGTTCTTTGTCTACGCGTCATGCTACTGGCCTGAATATTATCGTCTTGTCACGGCTGAGGCCCTTCCAAGCCTAGCGAGCATCGAAAAGTTGTGTCAAGCCGACTCGAAGCGAATTCACAATTGGACTCAGCAAAACCGTCGTCCAGGCTGTGCGATGCTGCCGAGATTCCCATTTTCCAGCCAGCTATATGATCCCCTCAGTATCACCTGCCTTTATGGCTCTGTAGATATGCTTCATGTCATGCTCAGAGATTCTGATTTCGACAATGGCAATTTCCTCGAGATGACGGCCATGAAGGCAGCAGATCAAACCCTTCAATGGGGAGATATGTCCAGGCTCAGGGCACTTTTTCTGGATCCGAGACTTGGTCATCAGCTACGAAACCTGGACTTTTTTCGCCTGATTATCCGCAGGTGGCGTGAAGCGAGTGTCTGTCGACCCGACTGGGAAGATGCTTTTGCGCTAATTGACCTCATGAGAGATCAAATGGCTCAGCAGCAATGGGGATATGAGCTCTGGTGCATGGCTGCCAGTGCAGGCTGCGCGCCCATTGTTCAGAGATTACTGTCTGGTGCTCGGCATAACGATGGGCTTAGAAGAGAGCTATTGCGTGAATTTTCACTTATGCCACAAGTGGCACCCTTGAAGTGATATGGTCATGTGGTGATATACTTGCTGGGGGAATTACAACGAACTACATCGTCATTATCTGCCTGCGGCAAGAATATGCCCTTCATTTTACTCCCGTCACTATATCTCAGAAACATTGCCCTGTGGTATAACCACTAGTTTCTGGACAGTTTGTTGACGCATTATAGCCAACACCCTTCCATAAAGGTCATTAAAAACGGGGTAAAATAAAATGGTTCAAACGGGAAAGTTAAAAGGCAAGCGGGTCAAAAACATGCCGGGTACCATCGGCATAATGGCACTGGCCCACCCCAAGGTTGAATCATTCCTTCTAGACACCACCCAAAGCAATCTTGATAGCTGCGAGTGTGTTGCAGACCTAATCTGATCTCAAAGAGCACCGCAAACCCTCTTGTCGTCACTTAACACCACCCTCATTCTTACCCAACAGTTATTTACCCATATCACACAATATGTCTATACCTAGCGGCCGGGACGAGCAGCAGCCCGTCATATGCGTTTTGTATGTCAATCCCAATACTAATTGAAACCATCCCGCCTAAAAATCTATAACCAACTATCTAATCTACTAATTCCATCCAGTTGCGGCGCCCAGCCCGGCAACTCACCCGAGTACATAGCCGCCGCTCGCGCACTCGCGCATGAACTACACGCCGCCAACGCAAAACTAGTCTACGGAGGGGGAACAAAAGGCCTAATGGGCGAGGTGGCAAAGACTCTAGTATCACTATCTGGGCCATCTGCAGTGCATGGCTTCATACCCGAGGCACTGGTAGCACACTATCCCGATGCGAACGTCAACCGCCAGGCCGAAAGCAAGGCCCAGGAGGATGGGAAACAACCCGAGCGAATGCTTGCCCCGGGGTCTTCACCAGCAGAGGGCGAATACGGGAGAATCAACATTGTAGACAGCATGCACGAGCGAAAACAAAAAATGGCAGAGGAAGTTCTTGCCGGTGGTCCTGGGTCAGGGTTCGTAGCCCTTCCGGGCGGTTATGGGACCCTTGAGGAGGTCGCTGAGGTTGTTACGTGGAATCAACTGGGGATTCATGATAGAGGAATTGTTTTGTTGAATGTTAATGGGTTTTGGGATGGGCTTGTGACGTGGATTGAAATGGCTGCTCAGCGGGGGTTTGTTGGACAGGCGAATAAGGGGATTATGGTGGAATGTAAGGAGGTGGAGGAGGTTATTGGGGTGCTTAAGGCGTATAAGCCGAGTGGTGGGAGGTTGAACCTTTCTTGGGGTAGTAAGTGAAGAAGAAGCGAGGGGAGATTGGGGGATGGGCGGTATTTCGAGGGCTGGAGAATAGAGTTAGAATTCGGGGCCTTCCGACAGTTGCCGGCTGCCGGCCAATTAACTTCATTGTGTGCTAATTTTATTATCAATGAGCCTGTCTAGGCTTCTGCTTTTATCCATAGCTATGTGTGAAGCTTCGCTGTGGGCAAATGGAAAGGACATGATTATTTAGCCAGGCTAATATAACACACTTGCTTGCTAAACCGCATGGCTGCCATGTTTTGCCTCTTCCTTCATCTCAAACCCCCCAAGTTCCTTCAGGATTGATGCTTTAATATCATCAGAGGCCCAACACATATCAACGGCATTCCGTTGTAGCTGGACGAACTCGGCATCAGTGAAATTGCCCAGTACACGAAGCAGGTAAAGACTGTTGTTCAGCCAAATATCCTCCATATATGACGGGTCATCACTGCCAATGGCTATTCTGATGCCAGCGTTGAACAACTTGCGAACCCGATCAATAATCTGAGCCTCTCCAGAGTAGCACAGATAACCCCACGGACAAATCGTCATTCCAAGGTCCTTTTCTTTGACCCTCTGAAGAAGAAATGAATCGTCGGCGGCATGTAACCCATGATCAATCCTGTCCGCTCCGCTTCCTCCCAGCTGGTCAACCACTTGGCCAATGTTCCTCATTGTATCCTTATCGCCGACGTCGCAATGGCAGGTAATTTTGAAACCATCTTTGCGAGCGCGGAGAAAAACGTCTTCAAAGAGCAATGGCGGACGGTCCACCTCTAAAGAGTCCAATCCGATTCCCACAATCATGTCTCGATATGGTAGTGCCTGGAGATAATGCTCCATAGCAGATTCCGGGGACATGTCTCGTAACATGCACATTATCCACTGGGAGTGGACCTAGAACAATTCTCAGCGAGAGATCATATGATAGTATATGAAGGATCCAAGCGACCTACCCCAAGATCCCGAACAGCCTCACTCTGAGCCCTCTTAAACCCATCCATCATCTTCCTAAAAGGAACACCTCTTCGCGTATGACCCTGCGGGTCAAAAAACGGCTCACAATACCGAACATTCATGGAAGCAGCCTGCCTGAAGTAATTCATTGCCAGACGATAAAAGTCCTCTCCATCCTGGAGGACACTGAAACCACCGTAATACAGTTCAAAGAATCGCTGCATTCCGCCATTTACACCCCCTGCATCCAGGTCATTGAGGAGCTCATACATACCCTTTAGCTCCGATAGACTCTCGCAAGGCTGCTGGGTATTGATATTGAGAACTGACTCTCCGCGCCGTTGCGCGAGCTCCCACCGGAGTTCGGGTGTCATTGTGCCCTCGATATGGACATGCATTTCGACTTTAGGCATGTCTTTGATAAACTTGTCATTGTGCTGGTGGATTGCGCTTCGATATTCTCGCAGAGTTTGGTTTGATAGAATAGATGTGTTTGAGGCCATAACAGATAGAGCAGGGGATATGACTCCGGTTGTTGACTTGGAATTGGGAAGCAAATGGATTGAACGTCGTTCATCTGTCTTTTAAACCTTGGGGGATAACCCTCTTGGGAGCGTGTCATATCGATCGGACGCCTGAGAAGCGGGGTTTGTGCCAACTAGCAATGATTGGGCGCGGGGTTACGATGTAATACTACCACTGAGTAGTAGATTGTCATGTCTGACTGCAGATTGATTGGAGCGTTCCGAAAACCTTGCATCTTCTTCGAAATACCACCGATGTCCCCGTACCTTATCTCCGTCCACTCTGGCCACCAATTGTAATCTTAAGATAGGCTTAGCCTTCCGTCCCATGGTTTATATGCTCTGCATATTTTGATAATCAGATATATCCTAAGTGAGGTTAGTGCAACATAATTATTGGTTTAGTACTATATTAAAGATAATGGATAATAGCAAGTACATTCCTCTGAAATTCTGGATCGCAGCCAGCTTGTACTTTACCCTAATGTTTGAGTATGTCCCAAATCCGAGAGATTCTTACACTATTATTATATCGTAGTATCTTTCTATTTCTATCTATATTCAGCGCATGTTCCTTTACTGATTCCTCTTCTAAGGAAGGGTACAAATTGGCCTAGATCATATCGAGTCACCAACTCCCAATCCCATTCATATACCCCAGTCATCATCCACATTTCGCTATACTATACACTAAGCCCCCTCGAATACATCGCAAATCATCAAATCAAAACCACAAATATTATTACTCAATATAACACATACCCCATAAATCATAGCTCATTATACTCCCTTACCAACAGAAAACACATACACCATCCCATCCCATCCCATCCCACCCTAATCTTCCAACCCAACCACTCCACTACTGATACAAAATCAAGAAAGATACACCTTCGTCGGCCTCCTCACCGACGACCCCCCACCATGCCCGGACGGATGCTTCTCCAGATAATAAACTGTGGGACTACTATGGCGCCGTCTTCTTCTCCGCGTTGTCGAGGTAGCCAAGTTCGCCTCACCGTAATCCGATCCCCCACTTGAACTAGACCCTGGTAGGGAACACAGATGCCATAGCCATAGAATGAGCAAGGTGCCTGCGATAGTGCCGAGGACGATGCCTGCGATGCCTCCGCCGGAGATGGTGTTAGGGCAGTCGGGGTCGGCGCGGGCGGATAGGAGATTATTTGTGTTGGTGGTTGTTTGGTGGAAGGGAAGTGGTGGTATTATTGGGGCCTGGAGTTGTGTTAGTGATTATTTGATGGTGGTTGTAGATGTTGGATAGAGAGGTGGTTGGTTCGGATGAGACCCGCTTTTATTTTTATCTTATGGCTGGGATGGAATGGGAGTTCATCCATGGATGAGTGGTGGGTGGTACGTACCATGGTTATTAGATTACTGGATTATGGTCAATTAATAATATTAAAGGAGAAAATAAATGATAGGAATTCGATGGGTATATTCACTGAATCGACACAAATGAGGGCGATATCCAACATATAACAAATACTTCGCATCTTTCTACAGTGTGCGGGAATCTCTATCCGTTGACGTCAACCACACGTCTTTGTCCCGACGATGCCAAACGAAGCAGCGATTGTCCGTTTCCACCACGGCCCGGATTTCTTGTTCTTGATTTTTGATTCAGTTACGACGCGTGGAACTCTGCCAATGACTGTCCGTGGAAGAGTCAATTGGGTTTGATGTGCCTTGTGTTGAGGGTGCGGGGTATGGCTATCATTGGTGAGGGTTTGTCGGCGTCATTGTTGCAATTCTTGGTTTGGAAGCTTGCGGAAGTAGTTACCGGTTGGGAAATTATGGGGCTACTGTTTAGTAGAATATGAGTAACCGAGGTATGATTGATTGCTCAGGTCACAGTGTGCATGTGCATTGCTCACTATTACTATTAGTGGTGGCTATTGACTAGAACTGGGTGACTAGCTTGCGCTGCCTGTCCTTCATGTGCTCCGATGTCCTGGCGAGGGGGGAACGCTTCCCGTATCCCAGGCTGTCATGTCTGCGCCTAGCTCAAACTCAATGGTACCGCCTTGGGTCATGACATCCTCGTGCTCGAACCAGTTCTTCGTCCAGGCTTGTCCGTTGATTTTCACGCTTTGCACATAGTAGCCCTTGTCTAATCCGTTCGCGATGATACGGAGTGTCTGGTTGCCATTGACGGTGATGTTAAGGTCTGGAAACCAGGGCGAAGCGAGAAGATACACTGGTTGTGTGACGACAGGATAGATACCCAACATCTGCCACAAGAGCCACGAGTTCATCGCCCCGGCGTCGCTGTTTCCTGGGACTCCATAGGCTTCGTCTCGGAAGCTATTTGACTTCAGTTACTGTGGATAACAGAGGATATTACCACACTTACTACTGATACCCTAGATTCCGCGACTTTTCCACGCTTTTGGCTTGCTTGTTGATGTAATTGTATAAGTACGGAGTCGCAAAGTCGGGTTCGTTCCTTTCAAACTGTTCAGTCATCACCCATATGGCTATATGTTAGACTACCTACCCGATGTTTATGATTGTCGTAATACCTGCCCCATTTGCCCCAAGGTTCTGGACTGACATGTTCGGCTCAAACTAGAAAATGTTAGCTGTATGCCTACCCAGAGTTGTCATCTTGGTGAGTACCATCATATCCAGTCGGGATTCGAATGTATCTGCACCACCCATAAAGTCGATCAGGGTTTCCATGTCATGCGGTAGCACAAACGAATATTCTAGAACATTATACTTGTCAGACCAATTCATAGATTGCGAATGGCGACCTACCCCAAGGAACGCCCTCATACGTATATGCGAGCCATTCACATCCGTAGCAGTAACGGGGATCATAGCCACTGTTGTTAAACGAGCCGTTCGAAAATTTGGGCGCCAAAAAGCCACTAAAGTTCAGACTCTGCACATCCGGGTCCCAGATATGTTGCCATCCAGCAGACCGGTTCAAATACTTTTCTTGGTCGCTAGGCTCCTCACCTGCGGCCACTTGGCTGACCGCAAAATCGTTGAGACTATACTCCACGGTCCTAGAAATGCAGCGCGTGTTGCGATCCTGCGAGACATATCCCAGCTCTAACCAGTCACCCAGGGCTCCACGCCCCTCCTTCGTACTTGCAGATAGATCAGTAGCGTCCCAAGTGTTGTATGGAATAACCTCCGCATTCGTCTTCATCGCTGCGTAGCCATCTGTCCAATTGATTGCGCCTCGCAGACCCTTCACATAGGCATCTGCTAGCATATTGTCCGCATCAGAGCCGCCTTGAACCAGCCCGTTCCAGTTCCCTGAGCGGCCGTCTGGTAGGAACCCTTGAAATCTAGGGATAGATTAGCGTTTTATATGTCACTTTCGATTTTGAATGGTTTACCACGTACCTCCAAATGTCGATAAGCCCCCGAATCATGGACTCATAGTAGCTGGGCTGGTAGACGTGATAGAAGCTGACTGTGCAGCGGAAAATATCCCCTAAGTATAGTCAGTACCACTCTCCAGTTGCCGCGCGAAGCATTTCACACTACTGACAAAGCGTGTAGAAGTCATCCCAAAAAGGTTCATCTGACTGCCACAGAGGGTTTTCACCAGTGCGGTCGGATGGCATCAAGTGGATAAAGTAGAGAGAACTATAAAGTAGTCGCACATTTGTCATATTCGCCGTGCTGTCGAGAGATACTTGAGTTTTGCTGAATACATCCTGGTTCCATTCGTCAACAGCAGATTGCACGGTATCGTTCAGTGTCCAAGAAGGAATTTCTGATGTGATGTATGAGCGAGCCTTTTCTGCAGAGATAAAAGATATACCAACTCGAGAGCTGATCTGTACATCTGCTTCAGTATCCCAGCTGAAGAGCGCCCCGATACGGTCATTCATAAGGCCCGATGTCGCTCTATCGGTGGTGTTGCCATATGTTGGTTGCGGGATGCCTCCATTTGCCAGGTTCTGATAACGTGGCATCGGATCCGTGTTGGTCCCGGTAAAAGTACGAGCATTTGTCGGTGCCGTAGAGAACTCGCCGTAGAAATAGACGGTAAAAGGGGCGCCTTAAAGTCCCATTAGATTGCATGCGCGGTGCTACGGAGTGAAGTGCGAACCATTATTCCAGCCACCGACATATGTTCCATAACCGGTATATGCTTTTCCATTATCTTCAAGATTTATCTCGCCACCGACGTAAAACTGCCCATTAGAATCGCCGGGTGATCCGGGAAGATACTTTAGCCATGTTAGCTTCTTCCATATATTCTGAGTGTGGAGAGTCATACGTGGGATATATCGACCAAAATGTGTTTTTCTCCTTCAGGGAAAGAATACTGAATGATACCAGCATGTCGGCTAGCTGAAAGTTCAATCTGTACACCATTCTGAAGCAAGGTCCTGAAATACCCTACACTTGCGGAGTCGTTCCCAACCTATTTCTGTGAGCTGGGACAAATGAATGTCAAGGACAGGCAGTTTCATACCCTGGGCTGGCTATAAGTAAGGTTATCTAACAGATTTACCGGCGACTCTACAGAGGTAAGAGGCATCTGCGGTATAAGACCATATTTGGGGGCACCTCCGGTGCCGCTCTCATGCATCATGGCTAGTAGATGGAGATTAGGCACAAATTCCAAGTATGCAAAGCAGTCCCAAAGAGATATAAACATACTGACTGCGGTGATATTCCCATCAGGTGTCCAGCCACCGTTTAGAACAGCGAGACTCCAGTTTGCGGCTGTTGTATCGATTCCCACCTTTACTACTCCAAAGGGTCGAGCACCACCAACGAAGATATCACCCCCTCCGTAACCCTGACCCGGAGTTGGGCCTTCCGATCCCATGAAAGGATTAACATATTGAGAATAATCCGCTTGAGTGGCGGAGATAAGCTCTAACACTCCAACGACAAGAAGAAGCAACAGCTGGTTTGGAACGCGCATGTTTGCAGCTCGCATGGTAAAGCACGAATAGAGGACGCTTCAAGAGATTGACAAAATGAGGGGGAAAGCTTATAAACAAGAGATCTTCTTGGTTATTTAGATTCATGGAAATATGCCATTTCCCCGCGGGGATGATCAGTGCGGAGTCGGCTGCAGCTCATCCCTGGCAGGAATAATTCCACGACACATTGCATAGCGACTGCAGGAATGTTGTTTATATTTCGTTGGCTTATGACCCCTCTTGCTGCCGCACTAGGGCCCCCGCATACTTATGAATGCTTTGACTGTCCCAGTTCTCGCATTCTCCGTTTTCTCCTTTTCTTCTTCACGCGGACACCTGTAATTGTGGTAGACGTGTTTCCCAGGTAAATTCCCATGAGTGCGATCCAAGTGAGGTCATGCCAGACGAGGTACAGCCTCGGGTCAAATGAACCAACAATGGATAGCGTGCCATTGCAAAAGTTTGGTTAAAGTCAGTGGTTGAAGAGGGGAAGGCATGACCCCACGTGGGAAGGGGACGTGTTTGTACATTCAACAAACATGAAAGCCATCAGTCATTGGATCCATGACACTCTTTGGATACCATTCAGTCTTTACATCGTCAATACCTCAGTGAAAAAAAAAAGTAGGTGAAACGAAGAAGAATATCTGGTAGGGCTTTGTGAACAATTACTAAGCGGCACGGTCGGAGTATTCGGAGTCCAGAACGATTGAGTCGAACCATCTTCATCCACTGCCCCTTAGTTCGCCCGTCAAGGTGACAGAATGACAATAGCATCATGTTTCAGTGCTCGCAGTGCAACAAATCTTATCAGAGAAAGAGTCACTTGCTTCGACATGAAATAACACGTTAGGCCCCTGAACATCATGTCTTCTCAAGTACGCGGAACATGCTGACAACCCGACAGATACCGGCACCTCCCATTCAAGCTGCCCTTTCTGCAATAAATCCTTCTTGAAGAAGTGCGTAAACCCCGCGATACCTCTGAATGAAGCCATTCTAATCTGATGCACGTCAAGGGAGGTTGCACGAAGGCATAGTAAGATATGTGCCAAAAAGCACAACCAGCCTCCTCCGGAAGCAGCTAAACCCGGGAGGAAGAAGCAGTCCTGTGATGAATGCTTCTTTGCGAAGACAGCCTGCGACAGGGCATCGCCATGCTCTCGTTGCCAATCCCTTGGGAAACAATGTTCCTTTGGGGCCCAAACCCCTTCAACAGAGAACACTTACTCAATGTCTCCATCGCCCTCGCCACATCTCTCGCAGACTCCGCAAAGAAGAAACGACCCATTTTTCTTCCTAGCACACTTCACTGATCCCTCTGTTAAGCAAGACAAACTTGCAATTGCAGAAACAGCCAAATCCTCTACTAGAAGGCATCTTGACTCGGCATACTTCCAACAGGAAGAACCACTCTTGCCCCACGACTCCTTGTCGGCTTACATGCCAGGCTTTTCAGGTGCTGATCTGTTCCTTCAGCCCTTTTTTACCCCAACTGGGCATCTTTCCATGGAGTTCATGCCTGAAAGTGCATTATCTTCTACGATTTCCCACAGGCTCGGTGAGATGATGATGATTCTGGTCGAGACTTCGAATTCTATGGGCCAGGGCCAACAAACCCAGCTCGAAATGGCGGAACTGAACTCGCTTTTCACGACCTCCAACCTTTCGGTGTTTATTTCGGCTTACTTCCAGTCTCTTCATTGGCATCTTCCAATTGTACATTTTCCGACATTCGATCCTGCAAAGATCTCGAACCCTCTTCTCCTGGCAATATTCTTGGCTGGAGCAACATATGCTACCTCGCAAGATGGCCCAGTATTTTCAAGTATAGTACTGGACGTAGCTGAGGAGTATATCTTCCGTCAGTTGGCTAATCTATCATCAAACCCTCACCCTACCAGCGCTCCCTATCTCCTACCTTCATTGGAAGTTATCCAGGGAGCTTTGATCATCGAGATGCTTCAGTTTGGGCAGGGCGAAACGGGTACAAGACGACGCATTCGTATAATTAGACATCCATGTGTCATTTCCACGGTACGATCGTTGGGGATTCTTCAGTTCAAGCGAAGTATGACACCCGATATGTGTAACGATGAGACATGGAGAGCAATGATAGCCGAGGAAGTTTGTATAAGGTAGGACCCTACCTGTTGAGCATCAATATTGGGCACTTCTCACCAATCTTCAGAATCGCCTGTTGGGCCTTTCTCGCGGATGGATTCCTCACAGTTTGTTTCAACAATCACCCTGCATTGTCGATATTCGAGATGGACTGTCAATTCCCTTGGAGTTCCGCTCTATTTGAAGCTGAGAATGCATCATCTTTCAACGAGATCGCCGCTTCTTATACGGCGGGGCGCCCGCTACCTTCGCTAAGGGAGTTTATTACGCGTCTGCTTGATGACAATGCAACGGAAGACCTGATTCAATGGAGTCGCTCACTAGTTGGCGAACATCTGTTGATCCTGATATATGGTTTGTATAACCGTCCCAATGCAACACAATCGAGCTAATCATGCCCCAAGCAATGCACTCTCTCGCGTTTCAAGCTAGAACCGGCTTGTTCGGGTGGATATCCACGAACTCGATAAAACGGGCTGCCGACAATTGGCGAAGCATTTGGGACTCCGTCTCCAGCATTGTGGGTAAAGAAGGGATTCACCACTTGGGGTACCCTAAGCATGCTGAAGAGCTCTGGTGGCTATTGACTGCTACGCTTGATCGCGCCAGTGGGCGGAACGTGAACTTCCGATACCTGGACAACGCCGCAACCGACGACCTAGAAAGCTTGAACAACTTCATCCGGAATATCAAAGGTCCCAATAGGACATAGTTCATATGTTCTGTCTAATAAAATGTACAGGCGAGGGGCTTCTCTATCCATTATTAACATTAATATTACAAGGTTAGGCTCAATGACCGGCTTTCCCGACCGGCGGTATGGACTCTAGTCATCGGAGCAGTGCTGCGCCCCTGTAGGCGAGCGATCTTATGCGCGTGCATCCTACTGACTCTTGACGATCTTGAACTCGTCGCCGCGGGCTTTCCGATAGGTTCCTCCAACACGATCCCAGAACGTTGTGAACTGCCCATAGTTATAATTGAAGTACAGGTGGTGCAGGGTGTGGCATTCGGGGCCATTGATGATAGCAGAATGAGAAAGGCAATCGGCGTCGTCTGGATGCGATTAGCGGGAGACACCCAACCAAAAGGAGGCACTTACGGATCAAAACCGTCCACAGTGTGACGAAAACAAACAAGCCCAGATATGCACCCTTCTGCAATGGGAACAGTATCGGATAGACGTGGTACGGGAGACTCTGCGCCCACCCGTCCAATGGGTTGAACGCGAAACTCGCATAAGGTGTCGGCACGAGCCACTTGTGATGTCTCTTGTGCAACCACCGATATACCAAAGGGTGATGCTCCGCTCTATGAATCCAATAAATGCCGGAATCTGTGAATGCCACGAACAGAGGGTACTGGAGCCAGTTGTACGCAGGGAACGGAGCTTCACTGGCGAAATCGTACAGCTTAGACCAGCCGCGAATCTCTGCTAGGAAGAACGGGACCGTGAGGATAGCCATTATCGGGATGGAGAACAGGGCTTGCTCGATTTCCAGACGGACTTGATTCTTCAGGAATCGTGGATGTTTGAGCAAGGTCTTGTCCCACCATGTGTGGTAGAAGATGGTGCTGCCGATGAAGTATATGGCTAGACCGAAGAGCCTAGTTGTGCAACGAATGTGCTGTCAGCTGGACCATGCTCGATTGACTTCAGGGAAGAGCATGAACAATATTACCATGTGATGAACAACAATGAGGTAGCTTGTCTCGGCAGGTCATCGCGCTTCCAGCGACTGGCGGTCGCCCATTGAGAGGGTTGAAGAGGGTAGTAACGGCCAACATGTTGATTTAGGAAGAACGATGTATCGAAATCCGAGGTACTATTCCCACCAGGTAGGACTGACGCGTACACTCTATCGAGGACGAATGTGTCGAGGACGTCGAGTACGACATCCATCGCGAGTGAAGGTGTCTAGTATGACCCCGGGGATATCGTTAGGGCTGTTTAGGGTATTCTGGTTGCGCCCAGAAAATGCGACTGCTGCTTGGGATGAAGGAAAAGAAAATTTGCGATCGATTGTTCATACAACTCCGTACTAGATATCACACGCAGAAGCTACTACTGTGTTGATTGTTACCCCCGTCATCTTATATACGCGGCGAATCCCTACCACGGGATATACCTACCACGGGGTAAACCTACACGGGGGCGATTCCCTACTAACAAAATACTCTGGCGACACGGGCTATCCCTACCAACACCGACATGATCCCACCACGGGAGTGAGAGATCCATTTCCCCCGGCGAGACCGATTCCGGGGGCACGTGGAGTTTGGTACATCTTAAGAAACAAAGTATATCATACGACTACCAGATCAGCCACTAATGCTTAGTTCATACTCTTATTGACTGCAGATTAGTAACCTGCGATGGATGGAATAAAATAATGTCAATTGCAGATGCATCGGACAAATTAACCGAGTTGGGGTTGGTTCCGACGGCCGGGCAGCCGCACAGCGAGACAATCGAAAAATCCCACCAAAAGCAAGTCGGGCCAGCCAAACCTCGAGTCCATCCATTCCGTTGCTCTCATTCTATCACCTCGTTCTGCTTCCCTCCTTCTCCTCCTCCACCCACCCACGCCTTCCCCTCTTCTTCCCCCGACTCATTCATTCTCCTTCACTCCGTCAAGATGGGTGTCACCTTCGACAAGTGCGAGACCCGCCCGGCCAACATTGACGCCATCCTCAATGGCCTCGACCGCTACAACCCCGAGACCACCACTGTCTTCCAGGACTATGTCGCCCAGCAGTGCGAGGACCGCACTTTCGACTGCTACGCCAACCTGGCCTTGCTGAAGCTGTGAGTTCATGCGCCTTTCCGTTCAACCCACTATACATTCAGCCGAAACAAAAAGAGCTCCGACGCGGGGAACCTATTTGGTTTTATGTGATGAAGAATCTTATATCATTATCACGTTTCCTATTACCTGACACCCTACTTTGGGGGATGTCGAGACTCAATTCTCCTGAAACAAAACCATTCATTCGACCTTATATTCTATCGCATATACATCATACTCTACAGAGATGCTAACCCCTTCACGCCCTCTGGCAGGTACCAGTTCAACCCCCACCTTCTCCAGGCGGAGACCGTCACCAACGTCCTCGTCAAGGCCCTGACTGTCTTCCCCTCTCCCGCTTTCTCCCTCTGCCTTGCTCTCCTCCCCGCCCACACTCAGCCCTTCCAGGCCTCCGACGCTGAGGCCCAGGCCGCCGCCCAGACCTCCGACTTCGTCGAGTCGATCCAGAAGCTCGCCCGTCTCTCCACCCTCCTCGAGTCTGCTCAGTACACCCAGTTCTGGTCCACCCTGAACTCGGACGACCTGTACGCCGACCTTGTTGCCGACGTTGCCGGCTTCGAGGAGCTCGTGCGCATCCGCATTGCCGTTGAGGTCGGCAAGACCTTCCGTGAGATCCCTGCCGAGGTTCTGGAGCAGTGGCTCGACCTTCGCAGCCGCGAGGCTCTCGAGAAGTTCGTCGCCGAGGTCTGCAGCTGGGAGGTTGACAAGTCCGGCGCCAACACCGTGATCAAGGTGCCCACCAACAAGGAGAACGAGGCCCGCAGCGAGGTCAAGAGCGAGCGTGTCGGTGTTGACATGTTCGGCCGTGTCATCCGCCGGGGTTTCGAGCAGGCTGCATGAGCGGATCTCAACGATAAATAGATATCCGCATCGCAACGCAGCCTTTCTCGTTCTAGATTCCCTTTCTATTCTTGCTAATATTTTGCCTCGAACGAAGATCAGACCTTCCCTCAGGTCTCGATCTCGGTCTGTCTTGTTTGGAAGAATGACCACCCAAAAAGAAAAGTTTCAAAAGAAGAACACGGGACGAAGTGTCTGCTTCGGATACCCCCCATGACACGAGCTCGGAGCCTCCTATAACATAACCAAAAAAGATGATGATGACGGGGATAGACCAGCATGGGAGAGGGTTGGGAAGTCCGGACCTGGCGCAATTGGCGTTTCGAGTTTTGCTTCTGCATGACTAGGTTGTGTTTTATCATCATCATCATCTTTTTCTCTCTTTCCTCTTCCATCTTACCTCCTATATCATTTTTCTCCTTGATTATCCTCTCACCATATTTCTCTCTACGTGAAAAGATAACGCAATTTCACCGAAGATATCCACATTGTGCGTATGCACAAAAAGCGATCAGTACCAGTACAGTGCAATCTTCATAAAATCATAACCAACGATGTAACAGACAACCAGTAGTAGTAGTAGTGGTAGTAGTAGTAGTAGTAGTAGTAGTAGTAGTAGTAGTGTATGTACTTTTAATTTCCAAATCAAACCTAAACAAAAAGAACACAAGTCTATATATGATATATATGTCATCAACATCAAGTCTTGAACGGACATTACGCTTCACAGGTCAAATCCGTAACCCATCATCATCCTCATCACCATTCTATTTCGCCTGTTCCTCCCACTGCACACCAGCCCACTCCTCTCTATAACCGACAACACCGACCTCCTTCGGTCCACAATCCTTCCCACAAACTCCCAAGATAATAGTCCCCCACTCCATACCAGCATCATCCTTGGGCCCAAGCCCCACCCCCTCCCTCCCATCCTCCAACACACTGATAACATGAGGCACAAGCTGCAACTCAAACACGCGCTCACTACCACAATACTCACAGCGAGGCATGCGGCTCCCTCCACCAACCGTAGTAACCTTGGCATTGGGGTTCGCTGTCTTCGACGGATCGTGGAGCCGCTTGCCCACCGCATCCACATGGGAGTACAGCAATGGCGTACCGCGGAACTCGTAGCGGAGGACTTGTTCGGGATTATGACCGAGACGGGTAGAGAAGCGGATGAACGCCTTGTCGAGCTCGGATTCAAAGGTATCTTTGAGCTCCGCAGCGCCGCCGTTGGGACCTTCTTCTTCTGTGTTGTCGATGGTCACGTTGGCGGGGATAGTGGGTGTGGAGGGGCGGGACATGGCCTCGTATTCGGCATCGAGGTAGAAGTTCGTGTAGGGGGTGGGGAAGTCGGATTGGGCGGGCCAGGGGGCGTTGGGGGTGGTGGAGGCTTCGGGAGGTGGGATGAGGTTGGTTTTGGGTTGTTGTTGTTGAGGGGAGGAGATGCGGACTTTGTCGGCGAAGGATTCGGAGAGAGTAGGTGCAGGAGAAGGGGTGGGTTTGGCGGCGAGGCCGGGGGAGGGCGCTGGGGCTGCGAATGGGTTGTTGTTGGTGCTGGTGGAAGAAGCGCCGGCGGAGAAGGGGTTTGCGCTGGCGGAGACGCTGCCGGTGAGAGTGGAGGAACCGAATAGGCTGGCTCCGAGGTCTGGCTTTGGTGCGGCGGGCTTCTTCTCTTCTTCTTCTTCTTTCTTCTCCTGGTTCGAGGGTTCTGGCTTTTGTTCTTCCTTTTGGCGGGGAGGCTGGTGTTGGGGCTCGATCTTCAGCTTTCTAACGGCGCGCAGGGCCCGGATACTGCCTGGTTTGCGGTTGCAGGCTTTGCGAGGGCAGGAGAAGATGTAGAGACGGCGTTCATCGTCGGGGAAGTCGTTAGGGAGGTCACCGTGCAGCTCGAGGAGGAGGAGCATGGGCTGGTTGCAGACTTTGCATTTGGCGAAGTCGCCCGGAGGCGGGGTAGCGTCGTCGAGCCAGGTCTGTGAGGGGCATTTTGTTAGTCGGACTGAGGGAAAGGGGGATGGAGAGGTGAATTGAGAATTGTACGTACCGGCCAGCCTCCCAGGTGACTGATGGTGTCTTCTACAATCTCGTCGGCGGCGTAGCCCAGCAGCACGTTGGTCTCGCTGAAGTCCCCCTCATCATCAAAGGAGGAGTCGCTGTCGTAGGGATCCATGGTGCTGTTCCTGGTGTGGTCAAGGAAGGTAATATATAATAGTCAATTCGAGAATCAGTAAGTAAGATCCAGAACAATGAGATCCTCGTCCAGACGCAGAAGAGGTTGTGATGGAGATCACCAGAAGAGCGCGTCTTTCTTTTCTGCCCGAAATTCTGGCGCAAAAAAAGAGTGAATAGCCCAAACGGGAAAAGCCCCATCGGCGATAGCCCCAGAATGCACTAGTCCTGATACAGGCTAGCGCAGTAACTGTGGTATCGATACATACCCGTGTGATACGTCAGTCAATACATCTCCAGCATCTCGCCATCGACCGTCACTTCCTCTTCGTTTCATCTCCATCTTCATTCCATCTTCACTTTTCCCTTTCTCGGACAATTATAGATCTGCTTCGTCTGGGAAACCTTTAAAAAAGGGGTTATAGAGCAAGCTATTTTGCACGTGAGCGTCTGAGCATGAGCACCGTTGCTTCTTCAAGCTCCTGCATCTGACGATCGTAACGTCCACTAGTGTGGAAGCATTGCTTCACTAAATAAGCAATTCATCAATTTGAGCACTCATGCATCGCTCATCTCTTTCATATTTCCTTCAGTTTATTCTTCATATTCATGTAGTATACTACGTCTTAGCTTTATGCCTTCCCCCACATGCCAATGCCACCGAACAGCAACCCCTGGGCTCATTTGGAGTCACACCACCCAAGAGGGTCGCCGTGATCGGTGAGATCATTCCCATCGTCCGCTCATCTGCCATTGACAACAAATAACCCCTTCAATAGGAGCGGGGGCTGCGGGGTCTAGCACTGCTTATTCACTACGCAAGTATGCGGATGCCTTGCACATTCCCCTCAATATAACGGTCTTCGAACGCTCTCCCTATGTTGGCGGCCGTTCCACAACAGTGAATGTCCATGACAACCCAACTACACCCGTAGAGCTAGGTGCTTCGATCTTCGTGGAGGCTAACCATCACCTTGTCAACGCATCCAAAGAGCTGGGGCTTCACGTTAACAGCGCCAATCATGAGCGACCCAGAGAGACTGAAGACACCCTTGGCGTCTGGGACGGGGAGCAATTCGTCTTTGTGATGAAGGAAGCATCTTCCTGGTGGAACATTGCGAAGCTGGTTTGGAGGTACGGATGGACTCCCGTGAGGACCTATCGCTTAATGAAGTCGACCGTCAACAACTTCCTCAAACTCTACGACGAGCCCATATTCCCCTTTTCATCCCTTACAGCCGCTTCAGAAGCAGTAGGGCTGATCAATATAACTGCCGTTCCTGGAGAGGCCTTCCTCCAGCAGAACCAGGTATCCGCCAAGTTCTCCCGTGAAGTCATCCAAGCTAGCACTCGTGTCAACTATGGACAGAACCTCGCTTTGATCCATGGCCTCGAGACAATGGTCTGCATGGCAACTGAAGGTGCCATGGCCGTGGAGGGAGGCAACTGGCTGATCTTCGACGGAATGCTTAAATTGTCCCACGCCGACGTCCGCTTAAACCACACAGTGACAGCCCTCCATTGGGATGCCAACGGGCCCTCAACCCTAACTTTCAATACAAACACCAACTCCGAAGAGAAGCTCGAGTTCGATGAGGTCGTTATCGCCGGTCCATGGCAATTCTCCAACATAACCGTTAGCCCACCTCTAAAGAAAACGCCGGACGAGATCCCCTTCGTAACACTCTACGTCACCCTCTTCGCCTCCCCGCACCGTCTCTCGCCTAAATACTTTGGCCTCACAGAACCCAATGCCTACACCCCGGAGACAATCCTCACCACCCTCCCTCCGGACAGCGACATCGGAAAGAGCGAAGCCGGAGTCGGCCCAGCTGGCTTCTGGAGCATCAGCACTCTCCGGACCGTGGACGCTCCAGACCCATCAGAAGGGAAACACTACGTGTACAAGATATTCTCCCCGGAACGGCCAACAGCCGAATTCATTGAATCGATTCTCGGCCTGGAGCACAAGTCATCTTCTAACACCGACACTGAAACTGACACTTCCATCGGTGATCTCTCCAAGCGAGACATCAGCTGGTTCCATGAGAAGATCTGGCGGCCGTATCCGTTCGAATATCCACGGGTCACGTTTGAAGAGCCGCTTCTTGCCCCTCATATCTGGTATACGGGCGGAATTGAAAGCTTCATCTCTACGATGGAGACGAGTGCATTGATGGGGAGGAATGTGGCTGCTTTGATGTTTCGAGAGTGGCAGGCCCAGTTTGAAGACAGGGAGGGAGAGTCGGCAGCGGATTCGGTTCGTCATGAACTATAAAGTGAATGAATGGTAAGGAATGGGAATGGGAATGGGAAATTGGTATGACTTTTTCTTATTGCGTCGTCTGTTCTCGTACCGAGCTGTCGGTGCAGGTACGGATGGCATGACGATACTTATGGTACTAATGACCATATAATATAAATGTCTAGAGTATATATTAGTATTAACTAATACATTGAGATTGCAATCCCGGGAATGTTTACACAAAACTCTACAGAATACGAATTCAAGGAACCGGTTTTGTCTCATGGAACGTATTATGTTTCTATTTCAGTTCATAATACCTATTTACTAGGTAAGTAATACTCAACCAGGCGTACCAAGCCTCCATGCAACCACGAACTTTTCCTGCCCTGTTGAAGAAGTGTTGAAGAAGCCATCCCGGTGCTATTTGTTCATTCACATGCTCAATGCATATCCATATCCCATGACCCGCGTAAGGTTGAAAAAGCAGACCTGTATAAAACCCCTTAGAACGCACAGCCCACAATCCGTTTTTGCTCGCAATGATGTTGAACTCGTAACCTAACAAGATAAAAAACAAAGAAAAAAAAAAAGAAAAGGAGAATAAAAGAAGATAGAATGTTAAGGTATCATATCAAAAGTTCACCCGGCTATAACTAGCTTAGACGGGAAGGGGGAAGGTGCTGGCCCAGTCAGCAACCTCCTTGCGGAGGCTGAGGATCTCAGGGACGGTCTCGGAGGCAACCTTGGCCTTGAAGTCCTTGAGCTTGTTGGCCTCCTTGGGGAGCTCGCTCTGGACCTTCTTGCAGAGGTTGATGGACTGGTCAATGTAGCGGGCAATGCGCTTGAAGTCCTCCTCACCCATACCACGGGTGGTCATGGCGGGGGCACCGATACGGATACCGCAGGGGGTCAGAGCAGACTTGTCACCAGGGATGGAGTTCTTGTTGCAAGCAATGTTGATCTGCTCGAGGACAGCCTCGACACGAGCACCGTCCAGGCTCTTGTTGCGGAGGTCGACAAGGACCATGTGGCTGTCAGTGCCGTCAGAGACAAGCTTGTGGCCGAGGGTCTTGAACTCCTCCTCGAGAGCCTTGGCGTTCTTGATGACCTGCTCCTGGTACTGCTTGAACTCGGGGGAAGCAGCCTGCTTAAGGGCAACAGCCAGAGCAGTGATGGTGTGGTTGTGGGGACCACCCTGGTGACCAGGGAAGACGGAGAAGTTGATGGGGCCCTCAAGGTCATACATGATGTCCTTGCCGGTCTTGGGGTCAGTGCTGCGGACACCCTTGCGGAAGAAGATCATGGCACCACGGGGACCACGGAGGGACTTGTGGGTGGTGGTGGTGACAACATCGGCGTACTCGAAGGGAGAGGGGATGACACCGGCGGCAATCAGACCGGAGATGTGAGCCATGTCGACAATGAGGTAGGCGCCGACCTTGTCAGCGATCTTGCGCATGCGAGCGTAGTCGATCAGGCGGCAGTAGGCGGAGGTACCAGCAACCAAGCACTTGGGGCGGTAGAGCTCGGCGTTGGCCTCGAGTTGATCGTAGTCAATGATACCGGTCTCAAGGTTGACACGGTAGGGGAAGGTCTCGAAGTAGGTAGAGACAGCAGAGATCCTGTGGAGTGTAAGGTTAGCATCCAGTGTTGATGTCTCATGTTGTCGGGAGGCAAATCCGCAAAACTTACTTCTTGGCGGGAGTCTGGTAACCGTGACTCAAGTGACCACCGTGGGGGAGGTCAAGACCCATGAGACGGTCGTGAGGGCGCATGAGAGCCTGGTAGACCTGCAGGTTGGCAGGGCTACCACTGAGGCACTGAACGTTGACGCCCCACTTGGCGGGGTCGAGGTTGAAAGCCTTGAGGGCACGAGCCTGGCAGGTAAGCTCGATAGCATCGATGTGCTGGTTGCCACCGTAGTAGCGAGCACCGGGGTAACCCTCGGAGTACTTGTTGCTCATGGGGGAACCCAGAGCATCGAAGACAGCGTGGGAGGTGAAGTTCTCCGAGGCGATCAGGACGATGGATTCGCGCTGACGTTGGATTTCCTTCTCCTGTAATGGGGCAGTTAGTACCATGACACCACATCTGATTCAAGAAGAAAACAGTGGAAAACGTACCATGATCTGGGCGATCTCAGGATCGCTGTCCACAAGGGACACCTCCATTTGCTACATCGATGAGTCAGTGAGTGCTGCTGCGAGGACACCCCAGATGGAAAAAAGTGCAGTGGGGTACTTACGTTCCGGTGAGCCGGAGAGAGAGCGTAGGTAGCCATTGTGTAGAGGGATGTGTGAGGAAAGGGGGGGGTTAGAGGAGGAAAGAGGGAAGAATGAGATGAAAGTTGAGGATGAAGAAAAGGAAGAAGAAGAGGGAAGAAGGGGAGGATTAAGAGGGAAGAAGAGGAAAAGCTAGGGATGGGGTGGGGGAGGGAAAAAAAGATTGCCTCAGGACCCAAGAAAGACGGAACGTGAGTCTTACACCCCGCCGCCTGTGCTTCTAAACCCGAGCTAAGCCCCATCGGGCCCCGGGGGGACGACATCGGAGCCCGGCCACTCCTTCACCGGCTCGGGGAAATTATTTGGCGCTTACTCGTCTCCATTACTCAATGACTACAGTAAAGTATATCTCATCCTGTCCCAGCAGCAACAGACCACCATATGCAAGAAGCAATTGATTTGACTGATATATCAGGTGTCATGGCTGGCTAGAATACAGTATGACAAGAATCAATCTAGTAAATTTTCCCTCAATCTCGGAATCCCGACCGGGATGCCACTAAGTGGCTGAAGGCAACAGAGAGGCAGGAAAAAGTCAATCCACTAGCCTACCAGCCCAGCTCCGATTGGTGCCGCTGGTCGATCAGCACCGGTCGACTGAAGCTACCATCCCCAATGAAACACGAGGGGGCCTCGATCTACATCTAGAGGGCTGATGAGTTGTCAAGGTTTTCAAAGAACAGAATATAATACAATATGAATCAGGTCTCGGTGTTGTTGAGGTTATGTTGCGTATGAGGGACATAAGTGTTGTAGTCATTCTGCAGAATGAGCTTCATCTCTTCTGAACTGATGATAATCCTACTATAGTAATGAGTCATAGCATATATCCCACTCCACTATTATTTCGTAGCTTCTACTTTTAGATCGCCATCCGTATCACAGTGCGGCCAATACAAATCCTGCTCCACCATAGATCTTCCAATTCCCATAGCAAGTGTGGCCTCTCGGGATGCTCGCACCTTGTGATGGGGACCGTGGTGGCGCTGGAGGGGTCAAAGCAGCTTGCGAACAGTCCCCCACCTGAGAGACACCATCAGAGAAGTTCTGCTGGACAACTGGGAGATTTTGCAGACATTAAGACTTGTTCCTTTCTTAATGATCACAGGCAATTTGGACAAGCCATAGCTCATGAACACGATAGCACGGGTAATGGAAAGACAGCAGAATCCCAAATAAAGCTCTCCCCATAAGAGCATCTGTGTCCCTGCAGGTTACAATCACCTATGCCATACCAGGAGCCGCATACACTGACCAATCTATGGCTCCTCCAACCTATGCTTTATCCGCAGATTGAGTGATGATGAGTTAAGCGAAGCTAGTGACCTGCTCAACTGGGACCTAATCCGGTGTGCTGTTCCCTAAACCCTTAACCCGGCAGAATCGCAGTGTATGATGCATCCCAAGCTCGATAAAGGTTGCTCTTCACCCTTGGGGTTGCGGAGGGATCCCAGGAGATTCTTCTCAGAGCCTTGCTGTGGGTTTGACGCGATCAACGTGCTCGATCGAGGGTAGTTGACATTAACCCCTTTACACATTCAGTCATATCATCTTCCGCGCACACTCTCAAGGTCCCTGGGACTTGAGCTTCTTAGCACCCCCTGGGCTTGCCATCTGGCCAAAGTCGGCGATGACCGACTTGAGCTTTGCAATGCGGTCCTCCAGCTCCTCAATTTCCTCTTCCTGGTCGGCAACCGACCGATCTACGTCGGGTAGGTTTTCCACCACGGCTTGTGCCTTCTGAATCCGAATTTTGATCGAGCTGACCTCTGTCGGAAGGTCCTTGATATCGAGCGCTGGAGATGTACTTGAGCCCAAGCCGGATATTTCTGCACCACCTGGACCAGCTGAATGTACTGTCCCCAGAACTCCAGCAGTGTTGGCGTTTTCGGCCCCCGCTTGTTGTTGCGATTGAGGTTGGCCGGGGGTACCTGAAGGTGGTCCTGTAGGAGCACCAGCTCCGGTAGGGTCATCGGCCGCTCTCACACCATTGGATACGCCAGCAGCGTTCGTTGGCGGCGATAAAAGACGTGAAAGGAGGCCATGCAACGGTGGAACAATGTCGAATGTCTGTGGAGAAGGGAAAGGGACGGCTTGGGGGGTTGCGGGGGCGTCTCTGATCATCGGGGTCTCGGGCGCGACGGATGATTTTGGTAGGGGAGTCACCGCCGTGGGGGATCGGGACGCCATCGCGGGAAGGGCAATACCGCGGACCAGACACACGACGAAAAAAGAAGAAGAAGAAGAGACAAAAAGTCGAAGTATCAGAGCAGGCGGCTCACGTGGGGAAAGGGAATAGCCTCGTTTCGCGGGGGAAGCTGGGTAATTGTTTAGGGAAGAGCCGGGGAAGCCGGACGAGAACGGGAGGGAGAGGAAAGTCGGAGAAAAAGAGACTAAAGAAGGGAGTGGAAGTGGAAGGTGACGTCGGGGCGGAGCGAAAACAAAACAAGTCCCAAAGCGTCACCGAAAGCCAAAGTGTGGTGCCCCTCCCCCTCCTCTCTATTACTATTACTGTTACTACGCTGGTCTTGCGATTGTGTTCTTCACCGGCCAGCCTTTTCGTGACTCCACCTATCAATTCTCCTTCTCCTTCTTCTATCCTTCTTCTCTCCTATCTTTCTTCTTCTTCCTTCTTTCACTTCTTCTTTTTCCACCCATTTTCTTGCTCTTGAATCTCTTTTCCCCACTTTTGGTGAGTGCTTCCCGAGCCCATCCCGCTCTATCCCCGGACTTCATTTTGCGCTGGATATGTAAATTGCTTTGGCTAACATATGCACTGCAACAAGTTAAGAGCACAGAGTATATAGCAAAAATGGCCAAGGTTGATCAAAAGGTCGCCCTCAGTAAGTTGAACTTGCCAACTACTTTCTGTCGCCCATCAATCCACTGATATCCTGCTGTCTAGTCGTCATCGATGGCTGGGGTGTCGCCGGTCCCAACTCCCCCAAGGACGGCGATGCTATCGCTGCCGCTGAGACTCCCTTCATGTCCGGCTTCGCCGAGGCCGACTCGAAGACTGCTCAGGGTTACACCGAACTCGATGCCTCCTCCCTCGCTGTCGGTCTGCCGGAGGGTCTCATGGGCAACAGTGAGGTCGGTCACTTGAACATTGGTGCTGGCCGTGTCGTTTGGCAGGACAGTGTCCGCATTGACCAGACCCTCAAGAAGGGCGAGCTGGGCAAGGTGGACAACATTGTTGCTTCCTTCAAGCGCGCCAAGGAGGGTAACGGCCGTCTGCACCTGTTGGGTCTGGTCTCGGACGGTGGTGTCCACTCCAACATCACCCACCTGGTCGGTCTGCTGAAGGTCGCCAAGGAGATGGAGATTCCTCAGGTCTTCATCCACTTCTTCGGCGATGGCCGTGACACCGAGCCCAAGAGCGCTACCAAGTACATGCAGCAACTGCTCGACCAGGCCAAGGAGATCGGTGTTGGTGAGATCGCTACCGTTGTCGGACGTTACTGGGCTATGGACCGCGACAAGCGCTGGGACCGGGTTGAGATCGCCATGAAGGGTATTGTCTCCGGCGAGGGTGAGGAGAGCTCTGACCCCGTCAAGACCATCAATGAGCGCTATGAGAAAAAGGAGACCGATGAGTTCTTGAAGCCCATCATTGTTGGCGGCAAGGACAGACGTGTGCAGGGTATGTTTTGTTTCCTTTGCTCAATGATGAAGGTGCTGACCTGCGATAATAGATGGCGACACTCTCTTCTTCTTCAACTACCGTTCCGACCGTGTCCGTGAGATCACTCAGCTGCTGGGTGACTACGACCGCTCTCCCAAGCCCGAATTCCCTTACCCCAAGGACATCCACATCACCACCATGACCCGGTACAAGACCGACTACACTTTCCCTGTTGCCTTCCCTCCCCAGCACATGGGTAACGTGTTGGCCGAGTGGCTGGGCAAGAAGGATGTTAAGCAGTGCCACGTTGCTGAGACTGAGAAGTACGCTCACGTTACTTTCTTCTTCAACGGTGGTGTTGAGAAGCAGTTCCCCGGCGAGGTCCGCGACATGATCCCGTCTCCCAAGGTTGCCACCTATGACCTCGAGCCCAAGATGAGCGCTGCCGCCGTGGGTGACAAGATGGCCGAGCGCCTTGGCGAGGACAACTTCGAGTTTGTCATGAACAACTTTGCTCCCCCCGATATGGTTGGTCACACCGGTGTCTACGAGGCTGCCATCCAGGGTGTTGCTGCCACCGACAAGGCCATCGGTGTCATCTACGAGGCCTGCAAGAAGCACGGCTACATCCTGTTCATCACCGCCGACCATGGGTAAGTTTCGCCTCCGACACGTTTGCGCAAGACCTTCTCACTGACATTGGTTTCCTCTTCCCAATAGAAACGCTGAGGAGATGCTTACCGAGAAGGGCACCCCCAAGACCTCCCACACCACCAACAAGGTTCCCTTCGTCATGGCCAACGCCCCCGAGGGCTGGAGCCTCAAGAAGGAGGAGGGTGTTCTGGGAGATGTTGCTCCCACCGTCCTGGCCGCCATGGGCATCGAGCAGCCCGAGGAGATGTCCGGCCGCAGCCTTTTGGTTAAGGCATAGATTTAGCGTATAGAGTAGATGTCATGTATTGTCTGGATACGATTCCATTGATGAAGAAATGAATTATTACGGTGTCTATACTGGGGTTTAGCTTTGGAGCGAGATAGAACAAGATTTTGTTTATTTTCAATTTCTCCCATCCTCTTATACAAGCGTACTTCCGATTAGACCTTGAGAAGTACATCGTATCTCGATCAGCCACAGCACCCACACAGGGTAGGCGTCACACTTCGGTCGATCAACAGCCCGATCGACTACGTATCCGTATAGTCTTCTGAGAATATCCGCAACGATCATTAACAAGGGTATCTAGAACCTCTCAACCTCGTAGTGCCGGGCCAGGATTGGCCACCGCACAAAGTAGCTCTGCGCTGCCGTCGGTGCTTGTTCTTCTTCTTCTTCTTCTTCTTCTTCTCGCACGACCTCCAAGGCGACGTGCATCATCGCCTTCGAGGACCGGTCAGGTACCTTGGCTGCTCTTTCACATCCGCCATCACCAGCAATTATATATCTCCTCGCGTGATAAAGGTGGTCACTGTCTTCCACCCATAGTACTGATAACAGCAATCCGTCTACACTCAAGCAGAAGCTGCCGCCGCCGCTTGTTGCATCTGAGTCTGGAACTGAACGATCTGCATCACGATTGTCAGACCGATTGCCGAAAGCATGTCTATTATCATGATAATCAGAAAACTCACCTCAGTGCGCTTCTTATCAGACTTGTCCTGGTTCTCCTGGATCTGTCCCTCAATGCGCTTGCTATAATAATCACATCACGTCAGTCACAGCTCCCACCCAACGAGGAAGTGGGGAGAGGGGTAACGGTAACTGAAACGTACATTTCCTTCTCAATGAACTCAAGACGTCCATTGACAGCCATCAAGGCCTCACTCTTCTCCTGCTTCAGCAAGACCGGTCCGATCAACTTGTAGATGTTGGACTCGTCATCGAGGGAGTTGAATTCCTTCTGAACGCCGACGTTCTCCTGTTGCTGGGATTCGAGCTTCTGGCGCGCTTCGACGAGACCGTCAAGCTCTATTTAAAACAAGCATCAGCATTCGTTACATGCTTATAACCAATGGTGCGCATAGCATATCCACAGCACCAAGCTAGCTGGAAAAGATAGATGACACTTGCATGCCTATGCTCATGCCCCCCCCTCCTCGAACAGGAAAACAACTCATGGAATACCAACATACCAGTCTGCAAGGCCTGAAACTCCTCAGTAAGCGCCTGCATTTGCTTTTGTGCGTCCGCCATGATGCTGTGTGATAAAGCCCTATTTAGCCCGTGATCGTGTGTGCCGATGTGGTGATTGATGGTCGTCGGGGAAATGGGTTATCTATCGGAGGGGCAAAATGGGAAGCGGAGCGGCAGAAAACCAACCAAAGACGGTAAACAAGACCGTCTGCCCGCCTTTTCGGTGTTCTCTCTGTCTCTTGTCTCTCGTGCCATTCCTCCATTCCTAACTATTTTCTCTTGAATGTCCTCCTCTACCATTCTATCCTAATTAAGGACCTTCTCAACTCCCCCTTTGGAAGAGGTGTTGCTTGATCCAGAATAACGCCCATACGTCATTGTTTGTTTGGTGCAATCGAGTCCTGTCTCCTTCTTTGCGCCCGCAGAGACACAAGACTAGTAGTACTACTAAGTACTCCAGACGGACGGACGAAACCAGGCAGGCTTCCGTCGTCATTCGCTCCCCGCCTTCGAAACAGTCCAGCCAGCCAGCCCTGCTTGCTTCCTAATTCCTGCGATCATTCCGTAACGACACTTCGATCCTTTCCATTTTCACACCATGAGTAATACCGACTTCCTAGGAAGGGCGATTGACACCGTCAAAAAGGCCATCGAGCACGACAATGAGGGCGAATACGAGAAGGCTTATCAGCTGTACTACTCGGCGCTGGAGCTGTTCATGCTGGCACTGAAATGGGAGAAGAACCCCAAGTCCAAGGAAATGATCCGCGCAAAGGCGGGCGAGTACATGGATCGTGCGGAGAAACTCAAGAATCACCTCGCTACTCTAGATAATCGAAAAAAGCCGAGTGCGGTGGGCGCTAACGGCAAGGTGGCGCAGGGGAGTGGGAAGGGAGGGTATGTACATGTCTGCCGACATCGCCTTGCGATCAGTTCTGGCACAGAGAGCATTGTGTGCTGACACTACTTGTTTGGTGAATTAGAAACCAGGACGAAGATGGCGAGGACGCCGACTCGAAGAAGCTACGGTCCGCCCTTGCTGGGGCGATCTTGTCGGATAAACCCAACGTGCAGTGGGAGGATGTTGCCGGTCTGGAGAGCGCAAAGGAGGCATTGAAGGAAGCGGTCATTCTACCTATCAAGTTCCCACACCTCTTCACGGGGAAACGTCAACCGTGGAAGGGTATCCTGCTGTATGGGCCCCCGGGTACGGGAAAGTCCTATCTCGCCAAGGCTGTTGCGACGGAGGCAAACAGCACTTTCTTCAGTGTCAGTAGTAGTGACTTGGTGTCGAAGTGGATGGGTGAGAGTGAAAGGTATGGATACATTAGGGGTCTTATATCGCCACATGCTGGTTCCTAGAGCTAACATGCCCACCTCTACAGACTTGTGAAGCAGCTCTTCAACATGGCCCGAGAAAACAAGCCGGCGATTATCTTCATTGACGAAGTCGACGCTCTCTGCGGTCCTCGTGGAGAAGGTGAATCGGAGGCATCTCGTCGTATCAAGACGGAATTGCTCGTTCAGATGGACGGTGTCGGCAAGGACTCAAAGGGTGTTCTGATCCTCGGCGCAACAAACATTCCCTGGCAACTAGATGCGGCCATTCGTCGTCGATTCCAACGTCGAGTCCACATCAGTCTCCCCGATATCAACGCACGAATGAAGATGTTCATGCTGGCGGTCGGCTCCACACCCTGCGAACTGACGCAAGCCGACTACCGAACCCTGGCAGAGATGAGCGAAGGCTACTCCGGTAGCGATATCAGTATTGCTGTCCAGGATGCGCTGATGCAACCCATTCGCAAGATTCAAACAGCAACACACTACAAGAAGGTGAGCCAGCTAGCCTCCCACCATCCATCCATCCATACAAAAGAGAAGAGCATACCACTAACCACGGAATCCAGGTCATCCTCGACGGCGCCGAAAAGCTAACTCCCTGCTCACCAGGCGACCAAGGCGCAATGGAAATGTCATGGACCACCGTAGAAGCCGACCAACTGCTGGAACCCCCGCTTGTCCTGAAAGACTTCATCAAGGCGGTCCGCAACTCCCGACCAACTGTCAGTCAAGAAGACCTGCAACGAAACTCTGAATGGACCAAGGAATTCGGCAGCGAGGGTGCTTAATCCCACCCTTCTTCCTACTCTTCACACATCCATTTTCTCTCCATCTAGAAGAAGACAGACGAGTCCATCCGTCCTCCCCTCGTTTCGTCTCATTACGACCCGATAGAATCAACCAGGCTCCCATAAAGTCAAGCCTTCGTTCCCATCCGTCCCTATCATGGTTTCAGAGTTTCTCCTTCCCATCCCAATATTGGTTCGATGAACATGAGTTGGTATGCATACTTGAATCTCAAGTTGCTCAATTGGAATGAACGAACGAACGAAAGAAAAGAAAAGAACAATCCACGACCCCACGCACACAAACCTTACACCATCGAAATGCTTCCTACGACTTTATCCCCATCATCTTATTATTCTTTATCTCTCTTATCTTCTTCCTCTCACCTTCCATCTCGGTGTTAGGCAAACTCTGTTTTTTATCATTGTGCAGCAAGGCGAGGCGTTAATCTAAAGTCCACTGTTTTCAATTTTCTCTTTCTGTTTACTTAACTACATGACGAGCTTGGTGTGGAATGAAATGAATGTCGGCTGGAAATTCAATTCTTACGTTATGTGCGTATAGACTAAGTAGCCTTTGTGGTGGTCTTTATTGATTGTTTTCCTGAGGGTTATTGATCGAAAACACACCCACTACTAGTAGACAATAATTATAAAATCAAATTTAGGCTCAGACATATCTCATTAACCATTCAATCTAACCATCCAGAACCAACATAACTAAGAATAAGAGTATATGTGTGAGGGATCCAATGTCCCTGGGGTTGCAACTACACAAACACAGAGTGGGTAGCTAGTAGGTACAGTACCAACGACAATTCCTTTCACAATCCAACCTAGGAGAGGACAACGCCTTAAGACACATCCATCGAAATAACGCCGGGGAATCTTCTCAACGAACCCAAAAGGAAATGCAAAATCATTGGAAAACATTGGGGGGTAGCCCCAGTCAACGGGAAAGAGGGAAGGAGGGAAGAAAGAGAGGCGCTCAACATAAGACTGTTCGAGGGGGCGATCAGGATTTACTGTATGAAGCGTCTCGCCTCTTCAGCACCTCGTTCTTCGCCCGTCTGAGACCCTCACCAAGCTTCTTCGTCTTCTTCCAGTCTTGGCACATCCTTTGCATGCGGACGACGGCCCTGACCATGGAGACGGCAGTCTTCAACTTGGATTGGGGAGTGCGGGTCTTGTTGCGGTCACGGGATTTGACGCCCATGTCGGAGATCATGCGGAGATCAGCTTCGTTGCTGTTGGAAGGAGGATGTTAGTTAAACCATTATACAGAAAAGGTAGGTGTAGAAATGAGGGAACTAACCAGGCAACCCGAACACGCTCGCCAAGTTCCATCAAGCCCTTACTCCAAGCCAGGTCACGGCGGAACTTCTCCTCACGCTTCAGTCGCGCACGAAGCCAGATGATTTCCTTGCCTAGACCGAGCATCTCCTTCTCATGCCTTGTCTTACTGCTCTCGCTCTTTGTCCCCATCTTCTCCACAAGATGGTCATATCGTTCTTGCAGGGCTTCCAGCTCCTTTAATGCCGATTCAGCCTTTCTAGCACAGAATGAACGCTCATCACGGATCCTGCGCATTTGCGCCTTGAGCTCGGCCATACGGGCCTCTCGCTCTGACACCTTGAGCGCGAGCGATTCAGCCTCCAGAGTCGATGATTTGAGTAGCTCATGAAGATCACGCTGGTCTTCTTCTCTCATTGCGGCTCTTTCAAGATCGCGATTCTTCGATTTGACCTCCCGTAGCGTTCGGTGTGCCTCAGACAGCTGTTTCCGTAGGTTCCGGAGCTCATCATGGAGTTTGTTGGAGGGTGAAGAGGAGGGTGAGTGGGATTCGTATTTCTTCATCATCGCATCGTGCAGTTCCTTCTCCAGTTCAGCAAGCCGTGCTTTGTAACTTCTGACGGACGACTTTTGGTCGGCTTCGCGCTGCAGCAACGTCTTCTCACGCTTCCGAGCCTCGTCCAGACTATGACGAAGCATCGAGAGATCTCCATTTGCAGTCGAATGTTCGTTCTCAGCATGTGGCTGCTGCTGAAGGAGGTTCTCAAGCTCTTGTATGCGTCTTTCGTAGCGTTGCGCCTTACTCTTCGTCAATGCAAGCTCGCGATCCCTTCCACCTGAAGTCGTGTGTAGCTTATCGTGAAGTTGGTCGATTTCGGCTGACAGACGGTTCTCTTCCAGGGCAGCCCGCTCGATCTCAGCGCTTAGCTGCTTTTCTAGCGTCTCCTTGGCTTCCAACAATGAGGTTCTGTCCTCCTTGAGGCGTCTAACCTCGCCTTCAAGCCGTAGAACGGATTTTCGGAGATCGACCTTTTCCTTATCGAAACGCGTCGTGTCGTCAACTTGATTTTGGGCCTGATCCAGCTGGACCTGAAGTTCATCGCGTTCGGTCTCAATCTCAGCAGCAGACGTCCGCAAGTCATGCAATTCGACATGAGCATTAGCCAGCTGATCACGGAGTCTCTGTTTCTCGCTGATGAGCTTCTGGATCTGACTGTCGTGTTCTGCAGACCCTTTCTGTGTTCGGCCCTTGGTATACTCCTGTTCTTCCTCCAAGCTTGATTGTAGGACAACAACTTCATCCTCCAGAGCCTGGATCTTTTCTTGAAGCGCTGCCTCTGAGCGTCTAACAATTCTCAAATCCTCCTTGAGAGAAAGGATTTCATTCCGCTGTTCATCGATTATCTCCCGTTTTGATGTCAAATCATCATTCAGTTCTTTGACCTGTCGGCTCAAAACAGCCTCCGAATTGAAGTGGCGCGTCTTTTCGCTATCGATGACTTCTTGCAGTTTCATCTCCTTTCCGGACAGAGTATGTTCGACTTGCTCAAGCTTTTCAATTGTGCGCTTGAAACCAGCTGCCTGATCCTCGGCCCTGTCCTTCTGCAATTGCAAGGCACGCCTGGCGCTCTCCCACCTGTCTTGCTCGAGAGCAAATTGGCCCTCCTTGTCTTCGATTTCGTGGTGGAGAGCCTCAATCTCTTCTTGTAGTCTCTCGACTTCTTCCTTGTACTGAGTACGGACAGTATTTGTATTGTCTAGCGCATGGTGATGCTCTTCCTCCAAGGCTTGTTGTAGCTCCTTAATCTTAGACTGCGCTCTCGCCAGCTCCTGCTGCAGGCCACCGGACTCGTCCGTCAATGCATGATGTCGGGTTTGTAGGAGTTCTTTCTCCTCCGCTTTGCGTTGGACTTCGTCGAGTGCTTCCTGTAATTGGGCGGAGATCCTGTCATATTCCTGTTGGGCTAAGTCTCGCTCGTGTCTTGCCTGCGCAGCATCATCCTGAAGCTTCCGCTCCCTGTCGTTCATCTGCTGTTGAGATTCCCGGTATCGCTCCTCAATTCGAGCTTCGTGATCAGATCGCGTTTCGATATCTTTCTTCAATGTGCTGTTCTCTTGTTGGAGCTCACGAAGCTCCTCCTCCAACTTGCTGGCCTTCTCCTCCAGCTGGCGCGTCAGTCCACTTGTACTGATAGACTTGTTCGCCATCTCATCGTGCAACTCTTGGAGATCTTTCTGAGCCTGGTCCTTCTCCATGACGGCTTGGCTTGCGGCATCCCTCGCTTCTCTTGCATCAGACTTTGCCTGATCCAGCGACTCTTGTAGCTCTTCCATCTGCTCCTTCGCACGTTGCAGTTCTGATTCCAGCTCAGTGAGTGCATCGCGTTCCTTGCCGTCTCTGTCCTTCAATTCCTCGATCTCTTCGTCGCGTTCCTCGATGGCCCGATCCCGCTCTCTTACCGACGCCTCAAGATCTTCAACTTCGTCACGGAGTTTCTCCATTTCCTGAGATTGGCTGTCCTTGGCGTCCCTCAAATCCTCCTGCAGCTCCCTGATTTGGTTGTCTCTCGCTTCGATCTCTTCCCGCATCAAATCCATTTCGCGCTGTATCGTATCGTCGGTCGGTCTTCCCCGCGCTTTCTCCCTGAGCTCCTGAAATTGTATGCGGTACGATTCGAGGTCGCGTTCAGCCTGCTGAAGGCTCTTCTTGTAGCGTGAGATGTCGCGTTGCATCGTTAATTTCGAGACCTTTAGCTCTGTGTTTTCCTTAAGTGCTGCTTGGTTGTAAGCGGGACCGGCCTTTTCCAGTTGCTCCTGCAAGAAGTGAATTTTCAATTTAAGACCGAAATTATCCTTGTCTAATTGATCGATCATCTATTGCTGTTAGCAAAGTTTCCTGGTGACAAAAGTCGTTTATTCACCTTCTCCTGTTCCTTCAATGTCATATTATTTCCCTCATTAAGGACACCACCGTTCCTTGACAACCCTGGAAGCGGTGTGCTCTGCACGCTGCTGCTTGCAACCTGCGGGATAGGAGTGGGCTGATCGTCGGTCGCGTCCTCCTCATCAATATCGGTCATTTCCATTCCAGGCAAGCCCGGCGTGTTGCCATTGCTCAAATAACTCCTGCCTATATGTCCCGGGGTCTTCGGTCCGCGCGTCGTAGACATATTTCGCAAATAATTGTTCTTCGTGGCACTCCTCATAAGAGGCGTAAATTCACCCTTGGGAGGCGCTGCGGTAGGAAGCTGATGTCGACTATTTAACGCGCTTCTTGTCGATTTGGAAGCTGCGCCTGCACGCGGCGTATGAGTCTTGAAACTCCCGGAAATACGCCTTCGACCGTCACCAAGACCTTTAAGAAGGTCATCATCCTTGGAAGGCGTAGCAAACGAATTTTCCACTGAGTCGAGTGCCGTCAAATTGGGTCGTCCCACGCTGCGATAGCCGGTCAAGTAAGTCGCGTTTCCGTCGACTTCGGTGCGCGGCGTGTCGATGTACGGATACGCCATGGCCGACGGGTATAACGCGGGGTTATAGTGCTGAAAATTGGTGTGAACAGTGTATGGGAAGGAGCGAAGGCCATTCAATGGGAAACCATCGCCGACAACACCACTGCAAATCGGGGGGAACGCGGCGGAGGGGACTGACAATCTAAGGTAGTACTGGAAATGCGATGCGATACGGGACGTGTTTTGGGCGGTGAGGCCTCAAGCCCTCGTTCTTGTTGACATCTAGCCCAACGCGACCTAGCGCCCGGTCACGGGGCCCGCGGCCAAGCAATTCGCCGCGTCTCGTCCGGTATGAAGTCATGCCGTAATTTATTTTCAAAGTTCTTATGATCGAAGAAGTTAGTTGAATTGCTGCACCCAGCAGCCTGCAAAATATATTCGAAACAGAAAGTGTGCCTGCTGCAGATATTAGCAACATGGCACCCATGTCTGAGGAGGATCTGGAGTGGTTCAAGTCCACTTTCCACCCCATTCCCAAACCGGAGATCCCTGACGATAGTGTCGATTATTCTCTTTACTATATTCCTTCCAGCCCCGCCCCCGCTGTCGTCGACGAAGTCGCTGAAACACGAGCGAGATTGGTTGAGGTGCAACGTACCTCTGCAGAATTGGTAAAAGACCTACTAAAGGACTATATCTGGCAACGTGAAAGCTTTCGGCTGGAGATCACGAAAGATGATGGTGCGCGACGTTCATTTGTTATACTAATTGGCTTGTCCCAGCCACTAACAGATACCTAGGAGTCACCTCTTTGCACGGGCGCACCAACTTCGGCGATTCAATTGAGGACGAGTGGGTTATCGTGTATCTGTTGCGCGAGTTGACCAAGAAACACAAAAATGTCTGGGCAAAAGCTGTGGATGGTGATGGTCAGTTCCTTTTGGTGGAAGCTGCCGCCACGCTACCTGCTTGGCTAGAACCTGAGGTAGCAGATAACAGAGTCAGTGGCACCTCCGGTATAAAGTCTGTTATGACGCAGGCTAACTTCCTCTCAGGTGTGGATCAATCAAGGTCAACTTGTCATAATCAAGCCCAAGAACGATAAGAAAGGTAGAGTGACGGAAAAGATCTCGCTATCGGATGCAAAGAAGATCATCATGGAGGAGCCGGCACGTCTGATGAGGTCTACCATGATTCAGGAGGAGGCGTTCTACCGTTTGCGTAACTATCCTCAGCAGATCAACGAAAACCTTCACTCTGCGTTCGTGACCATCCCTCGCAAAGTTGCCTTCCTACTTCATCAGAAACCCGCATATATCTCTGCCGCTGTGGAAGCCTTCTATCTACGCGATCCGATTGCACTGCGACCTCTCCGATCCAAGGATACCGACAGCTTCATTTTCAAGCCTGAAGATTTCGTCACCGTGAGCGTCCGCTTCACGCGAGTTGGATATGCGCAGCTCAAAAGCCAAGACTTTCCAGTACCGAAGTCATGGAACGATAAACTACCCACGACAGATGATCAGAAAGCATACGATCGGGCTGAGATAGGCATGAAGTTGGCTTGTGGGTTTGAGATGCTTCTTACGGATCCTCAGAATCAAGACAAGGCAGCCGTCCGAGAAATGAAGCTTATTCTGGAAGATCTGGACACTGGTGATGAACAACTGCCCACAGACAAGGATATTGAAACCTGGGACAAGCGGCAAGATGACGAGAAATGGCTCGACATCAGCTTTGAAGACTTAGATCGAGAGCTCAAAGGCAAGGGGAAAGACAAGGACGGCAGACCGAGCGCTGAGGGTACCTTTGGTGATGCGAATGCGCAAGAAAATCTTCAGCGTATTGTGGCGCAATTCGAGAAGTTCTTGAATGATGATGCGGCTGGCTTCGAAGGAGCAGAATTCTTTGATGACTATGGCACTGACACCGATGATGACGATAATGATGAGGATGAGATGAGCAGTGACGGTGAAGATAAAGAGGCCTCGTTTGACGAAGAGGAATTTTCGAGGATGATGAAGGAGATGATGGGAATGCCATCAGGCGGTTCTGGTCTGCCGGGCTCGTCTCGGCCTTCGAAGCCTCGGGGTCGAGTGGAGGAACTGGATAGCGAATCCGAGGATGACACGGAGCAGATCAAGGAACTTTCGAGGCAAATGGAGGCAGAATTAAAAGGCACGGGAGTGCTTGATCTCAATCGCAAGCCCAAGGCAGCCGGTGACAAGCAGACTTTGGCTGATACAAAGTCGGGAGAAGCAGAGGACGATGACCTACCCGAACTGGATGAGGAAGACATTGACATCAATTTCGCGAAAAACCTTCTCGAAAGTCTTCAGGGCCAAGGTGGTGCGGCTGGTCCAGCGGGAAACATGCTTTCTATGATGAACTTGGCTATGCCCAAGGACGATCGCCACCGCTGATATTGCGATTATGAATGACGAGAATATCAATAATGTCCCAGGGTGACTGTCAACGACAATATTATGTATAGCCGGTCGCTAACATATGGTCCTTCGATGAATCTCCACCAGACGAGACGACCTCATATATCTCTGCCAGACAAGAGGGCAGGTACTTACCTACCGTCGTACTATGCTTAGGGCCCTGGGAAGCCGAACACTTGCTGTGAGGAGCTCGGATCGAGCCCTATAAACTTCAGCCTGCCAACGTAAATATAATGAAGGCTCAGCTGGTGTGCAAAGCGAGGTCAAATGTGATCTAGAAGTACGTGCTCACTGACTGGGAAAGCTGATTATTAGACATTCCTGGATGAAACCACTCCTGCCATGGGACTGGCTGCTCTCATGGAGCTGTATCAGCTATATATCGAACATGATAGAACATAGATGCAGAAATTTTAGGGAACCATGGACATAATGAGATACTGTATATAGTTACTACTTATAGTATGATCATTTGAAGGTGACAGCCCGATGAAGTGATTGCGTCACACAGTAGCTCTAGTATTAACCCACATACTAGTACTAGTATATATATACAACTCAGACACTTACTAGTTGGCGCATTACTAGCAGATATTGGACTCAGTTGCTGAAGAATCTTGGACTATTACTAACATCATGTTCATGACTCCACCAGATTCAGCGTCAGATATAGACCATCAATTGATGAAGCCACCACCATGATGATGCTGTAGTACGCTTGTCACCATATAGTAACTGCCTGTAACATGGGATCTTCATTTAGCGTGCCCGATAAGCCCGATAAGAGGTTGAAGGCCTGCCGATAAGCCCCCCGTGTCGATCACGTGGCGGCGTTATCGGCCGGGCTGGCTCGTACTTCCCCTCGTTGGGCTTCTTCCCCCTCTTTCTTCCCCTCTCTCATTTGCCTCTCTCTTGGTGCCTTTTCCGTGGACTCTCACCTTCTGGGCGGATCCCTGGCACTGGACTGTACGTTACTGCTGGTCTCTTCGTTCAACATCTGGTCCATCTCATCTCAAGTCCCATCGGACCTGTTGTGCTGCAAGTAGCCTTCTGGTGCCGGATTCCCCCGGTCAAGCCGAGCAACCGGGTGCCTGTCTAGTGGCAGAACTCCTAGGCTGTGACGAACAGACCTCAAATCGACATCGCTGTTTCTATACATATTCATTGAAAGTCCTGACTCCGTGACTCTTTACTTAAGCAAATATACATCTGGATATAAAGAATGGCCACCCCGGCTCAATGCTACTACTGTTTCGAGACCCTTGCTGCCTCCTATAGGCGCAGAGAACCAATCAGCCTTGCGTCTGTGGAAGAGCTCTGGGAACGACACGAACAATATAAGAAGCTCGCCACGTTAGATGAGGATGACGATTCGCAATTCGTAGACGAGGACGAAAACACCGCGCCGCTTTCTGGGAAAGGCAGTCGCTCCCAGAAAATCAAAGTGCCCCGAGTCAGTCGGCTTCAGTCTGGCTCGAGCTCCTCTACAACACAATCTCTCGCGTCTACCAACTCATCGCAGTCTGTCCTGTCAAGCTCAACCTCAGTCACGACACCCAATTCCTTGTCAGACACGGCCAGTGGCAAGCCGAGAGAGGACAAATATCCACTGTTTGTAACATGGAATACTGTCTCGAAGCACGGCCACAAATCGCTCCGGGGCTGCATTGGCACATTTGAGGCGCAGGAGCTTGCCGAGGGCCTGAAATCCTACGCGCTCACATCGTACGTATATCCCTTTCATTATCCATGAGACCGGGCCTTCCACCTACACCTTGGCAAGGCTCGCGCATGCTAACCGCCCACAGCGCATTTGATGACACTCGGTTTTCCCCCATTCCAGAGCCTCTTCTGCCATCTCTCTCTTGCTCATTGACGCTCCTCGGGTCTTTCGAGCCATGCACCAACGCTCTGGACTGGATCCTTGGGGTGCATGGCCTTCGCATCTCCTTCATACATCGCGGCAGACGCTATGGCGCAACCTACCTCCCTGATGTCGCGGTTGAGCAGGGATGGACCAAAGAAGAGACCGTCAACAGCCTGATGCACAAAGCAGGCTGGGATGGGCCCTCCGAGAGCGTGGCGAGACGGTTTTTGCGAGGCAGCAGCAATGCTGGTCATGGCGCTGCCACCGCAACCAAGCCATGGGAGCAGGTCTCCGATTTTCGAGCTGTCAAGTACCAGGGCCTCAAGGCCAGCAGCAGCTACGCGGAATGGCAAGAATGGCGCCAATGGGTCCTCTCGCTAGACGATGGGAGCCAACAGCTTTTGAGTTGACGAGCCCAACCAATGATTCCATTCAACCTGGATGTTCAATGATGCGATGGCGTTAATGAGACGGGAGGCGTTTTGTCACTTTTGGTTATTTTATGCATTTGGGACATATTTGCCACATGCCATGTAAACAGCGAAACCACGTACACGAACCGTTTATGTGGACATACCTAATGGGAATATATGTATCTTTCGGTTAAGTGTGCTCATTTCGCGAATAGACCCCTTCGGTACTATATCCTGTAGCTCTCTGATATTGTATACTGAAGTGCCTTGTGTGCTTAATGTCCAGCTACTAAGTTGAATCCATTCCTAATTACAATAGTAGGCGTAATGTGGGCTCAATCTAGTTGAAGGATCAACCAATCCATCCATCAACCAATTACATCATTTGCTATAATTAACTACTAGGTATAAAAGAGAATGGAAAGGACCAAGACCGAAACATCTTTCTTTTGCCACAAAAGCCATACCAGATAATGATCAGAAGAATCCATCCCCTTCAAGGGTAGTAAGCAGCGGATAGGATAATAATAAGAGAGTGGGTGACAGCGAAAGGGAGCAAAGGTATATAAGCTTATAGTAGTAGTAGAAAAGATCCCACAAAAAGTAATAACAATACGATGTATATATACTTATTACCAACCCTTATTTCTTCCCAGTGCGACTCCACAACCCGGCAACCATTTCTTGGACTTTCCGCTCCTGAGCGCGGATCTGCTCTTCCGTCTGACCACGAGCATTGGCACGACCGTCGATTTCCATGTCTCCGTCGTGGTCCCGTCGTTCTTCGATGACGTCGTTGCCGTTGACTCGTTCGGGCTTGGGGTCGACGCTCATCATGCCGTCCATCATTAGGCCGCCGCCTTCGCGAAGCTTGTTGATGGCGCGAACGGTATCGATGGCCTTGTGGAGGGTGCGACGAGCGTTGAAGTTCTTCTTGACTGTCGGGAGGAGATCTTCGCCGGAGCCGAGCTTGTCGGCGGATGTGTCGTAGGGCGGGTTGACCCAGGCGTGTTGCAAGGCGTCGTGGGCTGTCATTCGAGCGCTGGGGTCGATGGTTAGACAACGCTTGATGAAGTCTCGTGCGTCGTGGGAAACACCGCGCCAGTATTCGATTGGGGTGAAGGAGTAGTCTGCTGCAAGGATGGCCTGCATCTCTTCCAGGTTGGAGTCGCGGTCAAAGGGGGTGTAGCCGCATAGCAAGAAGTAGGTGATGACACCGATGGCCCAGATGTCTCTGTTGGGTGGTCGTTAGTATATGAAAATAGTAGTCGTATTGGCAAAGTGCCACGGCGAGGAACGTACACTGGCTTTCCATGGCCACTCTTCTTGAAGATCTCGGGCGCCATGTATCCCGGTGTACCGCACGTCGTTGTAAGAACATGGAACTGCTCCTCGTCCATGATCCTCGACAAACCAAAGTCTGCGATCAGTAGATCCGCATTATCCTCCGGGGTGCGGAAAAGAAGGTTCTCTGGCTTCAGGTCCCGATGCACGATGCCGTGGTCGTGCAGGTATGCCACAGCGGAAAGAATAGCACGAATGAGGTCCGCGGCATCGGATTCGTAGTAACTGCCCTTTCGGCAAATGCGATCGAAAAGCTCGCCACCAAGCGCAAGATCGGTAACCAGATACACTGTAAATTGCGAGGATAGTTAGTCCTCGACAGCTTTGATACTAGACCCCACACCAGTCATGCACATACAGTTGTTCATAGTCTCAAAGTAATCGACCAAGGTCAGGATGTTCTGATGCCCCATCGACACCCTTTTCAGCACCGCGATCTCATTTCGAACCTATCATGATCCCCCCCCATGTTCCTTATCATTAGCCTTCCTGCTATATCTCGACTTTCTCCCCAGCCACATCTGGATCTCCATGAGGGTAAAGAAATACCATGTGCTCACGTCCAGCCATCAAGCGCTTGTTGATGACCTTGGCCGCATAGTAGTGGCCGGTGTCGATGTGCACACATTCCTTGACGACCGAGTAGGAGCCAGCTCCCAGGGTCTTTCCGGTCTTGTATCGGCAGGGCTGGACCTTCGGCCGTTGACCTGCTTGCGGTTGCGACGCCATTTATATATGATATTTCAAGAAGCGACGGAGTCGTGTTTCAGGGGTGGAGATCGTAAGGGTGGACAGTCGATAGGGTCCGGGTTTCAAGGCAGACGGGATAAGGGTGGTTCGGGCCTGCGTCTTCAGCCCCGCGGTTAGTATTAGATGGGTAGACAAGATAGCGTATCCTGGACCCAATAAAGGTGAGCCCAATCAGAAAATCGCTTACATACCTGCAGGAAGTGTGAAGGATTCACAGGCAAAGTGAAACGAGCCAGGGTGATAGGCAGAAATAGGGACTGGGTTGTTCCGTCGCAATGGGACGATGTGGTGGAGTTCCGACTGCGGGGTTTCGGCGCAGACAGCCGTTGGGCGGACACTGTTCGGAGTGGGGGGAGGGTTCCCAAAGCCAGTTGAGGATGATGCTTCTGAGATATACCTACAGAAGACAGACACAGGCTGCTAGCGATGCTGCCCTTCTGGGGGAATGTGGGAAATAAAATTGATGGAGATCGGCGTGGTGGAAGGAAAGTAAGTTGGGGTGACAGATCGGATTGTGTTGCGCCTGCCACAAACAGTCAAACACACGTGCCGAGGTGCTAATCGAGTGTCATCCATGGATCGCGTGCACTACTAGTTGGTCTCGTATATTTATAGAATGCGATTAATTGCGATATACACCGATCAGACGAATGTGATCATTTCCCACATCCACTATAGAAATACGCTACAGGCCCAGGACCCTTATAAAATACATCTATGTTTCTCAAATCGAAAAACTCACTGTGGGGAGGTCCGGAGGTATTTCCCGACATCTTGAACAGCCCTTAAAAGAGGGCACTGGCACTGCTACAACAAGCGTCGTTCTGAGTTTCTTAGCAACATTTCACCCACGAGCTAGATCCTATTATGCATACACTATGTATTGAATGGAGTCAAGATAATAACAATGCTATGTACGCCATTTAAATGACCCTCAATCCCTTCCCTAACGCCTATCCAATGTTGCCCCCGGCCGCATGTATATATCGAAACCGAAGTGTAGAAGAGTTACCGCGGGTATAGCCACCAACCATCAACGCTCAAAACGACAACAAGCAATCATGCAAGAACAAACACATGTTCACATCTGTGCAAGCACTTCTCCCACAACACTCTCCAGCAGCTTCAGCCCGTGGAACTTGGCTACGCTGTTCAAGATGTGCAGCTTCCTCTCAATCTCCTTCCGATCCATCGTTTCCACCCACACTCCACTACAAGAGCAGTGCTCCATGAAGTCACTGACCTTCAGCGTTCCACATTTCGAGCACTTCAGGTCCTGTGTTTGCCACCCGACAATGTACCCCTGAATTTGACCAATCAAGATCTCTTCCTGTGCCAACCGGTCGTATTCCGTTTGGCAGAACGGACAGCGCCATGGCTTGGTCGAGCTCTTACTGGCGTCAACTCCGGGCTCGGGCAGTACATCTTCGTCCCGACACAAATCCAGATCTCGGATCAGGCAGCATGAGCCGCAGGTGAGTTCTGGGATTTTGAGGCTCGCGCCGGGGTTCTCGAAGCGGCCTTCCTTGCTGAACTCGCGCACTTCGAACAGGGCTAGCAATTCGCGACGCAGTAACCGGGTCTCCATAGTGGTCAACTTTGACAGACTAAGGACTTGCATGAGTAGTTTCACGAGTTCCAACACAGGGTTGCGCTTCTCTTCATTAGGGTCCGACAATACACCAGGAAGGACAGGGAAGATGTAATCAGAGGCCAACTCCGGATGTAGGAGCTCGTCACGCTGCCGGCGAATGAGGCCAGTGATTTGCTTCTTCAGTGGCTTCGAGAATTTCTCTGCAAGGGCAGCCGAGGCTTCCTGGCTATCCTCGTCACTGGGGCGTCCAATTGGAATCTGCGTCAATCGAGGTGTAGAGTCGTTTGTGTCCGGCCGTTTGAGACCGTGCATGAGTTCGATATACTCCACAACCCAGTCATGGAAAATACTTTGCATGGGCGTGGGCAGTGTACGGTTGAGTTGCCAGTGCATGACGGTTTCCAACTCTTGTTCATCGGACTCGACGACTTCTTGGCAACCTTTGCCACCGTAGTTATATTCGTCGTACCAAAGCAGGTAGTCCCAGTACTCCTTGATCTCGAGGTCGATGAAATGAAACGAGGGGTTGGCTCGGATGGACTTTAGCACGTACTGACTGTATGCGTAGGCATTGCCCACCTCCGTTTTGGAGGTCTGGAGCAAGAGACGGGTGGAGCTAGCAAAGATGACATTTGACCCAACGCGCCTAAATTCAGCCATCAGGCGCTGGAAAGATTTCCGTGACAGCATCCGCACGTAGTGATGCAAGGACCGATCATAGAGACATGAGACCGGACTCTCTACCCATCGGATCAAATGCTGCACCATAATATCAGCCATGCTGTTTCCGTCGCAAGCCTCAGTCCACCAGTGCTTGACCATCTCACGCAACACAACAGCGCCGGCTGAAGCGAATGCCTTTTCGGAGTACAAGACACCACCTCCGTTAGGGTCTGCGGATTGACCGGACGAAGCCAGGAGTGTATCCGCACCCTCCATCTCGTTAATGATGGACGATGTCAAAATTGTGTTGATTGCCAGATTACGAACTTCTAACTCAATGCATACCGTGGTATACGCGCTTGGAACGTTCACCGATGGCATGGAGACCTTCTCAAGAGGGCCAGAGATATCGTCCTTCTCGTACCCCGCATGATCGGGCCGTGGGTTCGAAGACCACCAGAGCACAACGTTGTTCTGTTGGAGCCGTCTGGCATACGAGATATCGATGAGGAAGCGAGGGTCATCGTTCTCCAAGTTGCAAAGAGGAACGTCACCGTATCTAGCAAGCAATGTCAAGTGTTGAATCCAGGCGGAGAGATAGAGGTAGTGAGTGACCAATCGTCTGGCAATGAAGGACTGCCATCCTAGAGGTGGGAGATCCATATCTGACACTTCCGGTTTGACCGGCAGTGTAGGGTACTCTCGAAGGATCGGAATATCATGGCACAGACGCTTCCGTTGTTGTGACTGGATTACCATAACAGCGGGCATGGTCTCTTCGGACTTGAACTTCTTGATCAAGTCTCCAACCTCCAGGTGAGCCTTTCTCCTAGTAGTCACCTGTGTGGTCCTGAAATGGATCTTGTCCTGATATTCGAAAGCAGCCTGTGACTGGTCTCCTTCCATGGTTTGCACTCTTCGCGCGAGAAGTTCAGAATAGATCTTATCGAGGTTCGGAAGACCCTGAACATCCCGCGTGCGGTTCAAAATCACGACATGTGCCTCATTCTTCGTGCTGGAGAAAAGGGCGAAAATCTGCCTGTCCCCAGATGCGACATGATAGAGGTAATGGAAGGCAAGTGGCGAGTCCAGAAGATACGGTTGCTCTGTGGTTGTCCGGCATAGAGTCGAAAGGTCAAAGCCGCGGTCCAGGCCTTCTCCGAGAACACCCCGTTGCTCCTCATCGAAAGTACAAATGCTACCCAGCTTAAGAACTGCCCGGATGTTGAGAGGGATGTTCTTCTCATAAACGCCCTCAACGCTAGGGTGCTGGAAGAGAACATCGATCTTGTCCGCTTCGCGGAGATACGTCTCTTCCGACAATGTTAACTTGAACAGATGGACCGAAGGATGACCGTTGGGCAGTGTGTGGTTGACCTTTTCAACCTCGCAGTCCGGCACGTCAACATCAGGAAGTGAGTCCTGTTTGAGATTGACGTAAATTTGCCGGGGCACCTTGACTGTGAGAGCATGGATCTTTCGGTCGATCAGCACAAACGCTCGCACAATGCCAGGCCTTCCTGTCTCGGAAAGCTGCAAAATTTGCCAGGTGTTGATGTATAATAACTCGGCTTGGTTTCTGAACAGATTGCTCAATGAATCGCCACCTGCGTTTGCCCTTTCACCGAAAAGTTGACGACGACGAATTCGGGCTTGTTTCTGTATCTTCCACTTCTGCTTCTGGTATTTCAGGAAGCCAACGTAATCATCCGCCATTGACGGCATCTTCGCGGGGAGGGTGGCGAAAGGATCAAGAGAGGTCTTCGACAGACCTTCCGGATGCTTTCGCTTTTGGGAGACCTTAGTTTCGGATGATGGCTTCAGCTTTTGTGTAGAGCTTGCAAGGGCTTCATCCAGATCACCTGTATGTTGGACACGATGGTCAAGAATATTCGTCGAGATATCTGTCAATGGATTCTTTTCTTGCTTATCGGACTTGATGAACATGTCTGTCATCTTCGTTTGCTTGAACCTGTCATCCTTGGTGTTGATCCGCCGTTGCAGCCAGTCGGGGTGAGCAACTCGAGGAACCGGGTTACGGATCTTCTGCAACGCAGCGGGGATGGTAATGAGCTTCTGCACAACGGAGCCCAGACGCTCAAGATAGTAGTCCCAGTCAATCACAGTACGAGGATCCATATCGCCGGGGTCATCTTTAAGCCATTTGCGCAAGAAGAAACGCTTCACGTTCTCCTCAGCAGAGAAGATCGCCACTGGAATGGCTCGTTCGGTGACAGGCGTGTTCCGTGGCTTGGATGAAATGATGTATTTGCAGTTCAAGCCCTTGTCCTTCACCATCTGCTCACCCAGGAACTCTGCCAGACGCCGCGCAGTTGTGATAGACGTTGACTTCTGGTTTCCATACTCTTCAAGTGTCTTCGTCATGCTCCTGTTCTCCGAAATGAGATCAATAAGTTCTTCGTCGGCCAAAGTTGCACCGTGCTCGTAAAGTACATCCAACCATCGGTCAGCCACCTTAGCCACTGCAGCATACGTCTCAGTAAGATTTGTGCCTTCCAGGAAGAATCGGAAGATTTGAGTTTGGAAAATCTTGATCAGTTTCAGCTCTCCACGACGTTTGACCTCGAAACCCTTCAGTTCCGCCAGGGAGCCGTCATGGTTGAATACTGCATAACGTTTCTTCAAGTTCTTGTCTTCCTCCTTTGAGGTTGGCAAGATCATGGCTCTGTACGGACCATCGACTTCGAAGAAGATAGAGTTCTCACTGTTTTTGTCGTATCTGAATGTAGCAGGGTCGACCAGAGTCTGGTACTGATGATTTGTGTAGCTTCCGTGGACGAGGTGGTTCAGCATGACACACGGATATGAGATACCCAGCTTCTTGCCGTTTTTCAGGGTAAATGAAAAGTTCTCGGGGAATGAGCCCGGCAACATACACCAGATACCGTCAGTGTCGAGCTCCAGAGGTCGCCCGATGCGTTCTACTAGCTCTCTTGCCATCTGAATGATGCGAGCACCAGTCAGACACGTAACACCAGCCATTTCCATAGAATACCATCGAGATCCTTTTCTCATGACATAACCATAGAAACTGTTAAGAATGACTTTGTGGGCAAGCTGCAAGGAATCATAGAGGACGATCATCTTTTTGGCCTCTTCCACCTCCGCAGCTGACGCGCCTGAAGATTTGAGAGCATCAGTCTTGCCTTTCCAGACCTTCTGCTTTCCCTTGAAATCGTATCTTCGGTCACGGAAACTGCGGACAGTGTCGACATAGAATGGATTCTCTCGTTGACAAATGATGGCCTCCCTAACCATTGTTTTGCTGTCGTGAATCTTGTGGTAAATCTTTTTGCTGTAATCCTGTAGTCGCTTTTTGACGATGCCGGCTTGCTCTTCGATGCTCATATCACCGAAGGACCTCATCGGGCTATTCTTGTGCTTTCCAGGGAACCTCTCATTTGCCACAGCCTGACGAATCATGTTGTACTCGTCACGCTTGGCCGGAAGGAATTCACCTCTCCATGCCCATGGCATTCGCCTATCGCATGACTTTCCGGGTCGGTTGAAGTCACAAGCGGCACAGTTCGACTCTTGAATCATGGAGTCAGGCTGCAGTCGATTGGTGATCATGATGTTCGGATACATAGATGCAACGTCCAAGTGATAGATGAAGGGCACTTCATCCCTGTGTGGTCTCTCTTTGAGGTCAATCAACTTGTCCGCAATTTGCTTCTTAACTTCCTCGTAGTTCGTAACATCGTCCATCGACTTCTTCTCTTCTACCTCGATACTGAACTTCAACGCGGCATCCAGATCCCGGAGGAGCTCGTCTATCGCCGAAGGTTGCACGTTGAACGTAACAGGGATATCGCTTCGAAACACACCAGCTTCAATACTCTCGACGTGTCCTCCGACATAAGTTTCTGATTCGAGTAGATGTCCTTCATAGAAAGACTCCGGGGGGTCTTTGTGCTTGTTGGGCAGGACGATGTTTCCTTGGTACGCCTGCACCATGAGCAGCATCTCACATAGAGTTCCAGTTCCCTTTCTCAGCGTGTCGTCGGGATTGATAGGAAGAATAGTACACAGGGAGAAGATGAAAGGATGGACATATTTCATGTAGAGGTAGTATGTGGCGACGGCATCGGAAACAGAATATTCTGCCAGGGTCTGAGGGCGTTCGCTTGCGTACGGAGTCATCAGCTCTGGGTCGAGTTCGTCGGGATCGTATCCAAGTTTTGCGACAGTAACAGCTTTCAAACCGCGACTTCCCTGGGGTAAATAACTATCACGGTTCACCCAGGCGAAGCAATCCATGTGAACACAGTGGTCACTTTGGTAGATATCCTCGCTGTTCTTGCGGAAACCGATCTCTCTGTACATGTCGATGCCGAGAACGCTAGCCCTAGCTTCCACGAAAGGCCAATCGAAAAAGTCACCGTTATAGGTAGCAATGACAGTAGGCTTCGCTTCTTTGATATGTTCGAAGAATCGCTCTAGAACACCGCGTTCGTCGGGTTCGTTGAAGATCATGAAAGGACCACTGTACTCTGGCTTGGGCGTGTATTCGAAATCATTGATGTCTTCGGATACGATCTCACGGTTGGTGATTAGAAATCCTTGCCCGTCGATCATGTAGGATATCATCATGATTTGGTCAATCACGGAGTCGGGAAATTTCAGCGGTAGCTTGGTTGTTTCAATATCGAAGGCTAGAACGACAGGGTCGGCTCGCGTGAGTCGTTCTTCTATGCAGGTCAATGAGATAATGCCGTGTTTTGCCTCTACTGTGTACCATTTTCCTATTCGGATGTCTTGAAGCCGTTAGCGACGTGAAGAGAATACATATTTGATGCGGACACATACCCTTGTCAATTGAGACTCGAACATGATAAGGAACATCATATTCTCGAATATCAATAATGAAGTCGCTCGCGTTCATAGTAGCATTAGATCGTGATTCATTAATAAGTTCATCGTCAAAAAGGTCAAACCCAGCATTTGCGCTACAGATACCGGTCAGCCCAAACTCCCAAGACATAGGCTCCAGATCGATGTACGTACCTGGAGATCTCCATATAAGTATCCATCACATTTACATTCTTCTTGTTCTTCTCCGCCAGAGGAAGAAGTGTTTTGCGAACCTCCAACAAGTGGCTCACACTCGCAAAGTTGAGTTGGAGAAATATCCGTTTGTACCCAAGCAGATGGTTTGGCAGCTTGAGGTCCTCTTTCTCCACCCGCGTTATCTTCTTGATGAGCCCTTCAAACATCCTCCGACACCAATCCTCGACCTCAGTTTCACGGCCCTTCTTCACAGCAATTAAGAAATATGGGTCGTATTCAACAGTTGCCTTGAAACTCCCACCTCCATCTTCGAGAAAGTAGTAATCCACGCCGGCGCGTCCTCCGGGGACATTCGGGTCTTCTATAGAGGTACTGTGCATGTTGATGAGCCAACCGACTCGTTTTTCGCCGGATTCAAACCGGGGGAACCCCAAGGATTCATCGATGCTGTTGGCCAGTCGGATTGCCTCGAATTTCTCATCTTGAGAGGTTGCTTCGGTCGATCGGAGGGACGAAAACTCGATTGTCTTCGTTCTTTTGGGATTAAAGGATGCCGCGCTTGATCGGAACTTGTTCCCAAACTTGCTGGGTTTTCTTGAAGGCATTGCGACGGCGACGCGCCCACTGGCCGGGGCTGAAGATCACTGCAGAGCAAGGCGATAATGATTTAGGCGAAACATGGAAAAGCAATGGTGTAATCAACACAGGACAAAGCTGCGCATAGTTGACTTTTGGTGTAAATTAGCTTCTTTTCTTTGTGAAATGGACGTTTCTTCACAGACACAGTTGAGCGCGCTCCAATGTAACTGAATTGGTCGTTGATCCACTTGCATGTTGCGGAGCCCAGATTTGCCCTACGCCATTCCGACGCGTTCGCGTTTTCTACTTTACGCGTAGTCATTGGATGATCGCGGGCACCTCGGGGAAACTATCCATTTCTGCTGGCTAGCCGGGATGTATCGGATAATACATTGATCCGTATACCGCGCATAGTTACCCGGTAGAGAAAATGCCCGCATAAGGCCATAGATCGGATATAGAGCGACGACAAGGTATCTCGAACCCACAATTGGATCTTACATAATGGCCGACGATGCGCGGGACCCAACTACCTCCACTCCGGAAGTGAGAGAGCCTGGGCAACAGGGAGACCGGAAGCCGAAGCATGAGTTTCCTAAGTCGCAGGTCGGGAAGCTGTGGGATGCCTTCGGAAACCCCGAAGAGCCCGTGAATATGCTGCCTACAGCGACAACCAAGACCGGACAAAAGGCAAAGGATATCACGGTCACTGAGGCTATGAAAACAATGTCACTCGAAAATGCCACGTCTTTCCATAAAGCGCCGTGTGCGCGTGACTCGCTGCTGCTCGGAATCGGGGCCGGGTTCGGTGTAGGCGGCGTTAGGGGCGTGGTTGGAGGTATGAAATTCTAATAACGGATCTGATATAATACATGGTCGCTGATGAATTGAATGAATTTAGGACTGCGCTCTATGTGGACCGCTTGTAACTGGGCGGTAGGTGCTTTCGCTATTACAGCGCTTGCAGCCCACGAGTTCTGCCAACGGCGTCGCGTGGAGGAATTAGACGGCATGAAACAGGCAGTGGAGTTGATGAAGGCACTCAAGGATAAGAAACAACGTGAGAAGGAACAGAAGATCGAGGAAGCTGCCCGTTTGGCAGAGGAGGAAAGGAAACGGAAGAGCTGGACCAACCTATCGAACTACAAGTTTTGGTAGGCTTTTTGTGCATCGCATGGAGTACTGGAGTTGGATGGAATCTCATTGTATAGTACTATGTATAAAGTGGGCTGGTTGCAAAAGTACATATTCCTCTCTATATTAGGGGCTGCTACCCTATCCAACCTTGAAGTTGTGATGTCATGTCTCGTGTCGATTATTTCAATCCAACGCCCGTTTCGATAAAGCCATAATAACCGATAAACTCCAGAAGTGTTAGGGATATCGTAAAGGATAGAAGGTGTGTCTCGAGACAAGGGTGTTCATACGCATATGCATACTCATGTGAAATCCGCATCTAGACGTCAAACTTGACCCTTTTCTGAATGGCACCAGATTGGATAGACCGTATCCTCTCGAAGTCGGCACCGTCTCGGCGTTCTCGCCGCTTTTCGCGCGCCTCTCTGGCTTCACGGCTCCTCCATTCTGCGACCTGTTTCTTTCTCCTCTCTGACCTGGCCCAAGCCATTGCCGCAGTCGGTTTGAAACCAATTCCATTCAGCCCATATCCGTCGTCAGTAGGATCAGTCGGGTTGTGACCCGTGATTTCCGAGTCATGCCATGTAAGTGGGTTCTCAGCTGTATCGGTTATAAGAGGTGGTGATGCACTGCGGCTACGCATCCTGGGAGAAGTCGTAGGGAGCTTCTTCTTGCGAGGGCTGGGTGTCGATCGTCTCTTTCTGGGAGATGGTGATCCGGATCTAGCAATTTCAGGAGACTGAGTAGCTTCCGCAAACTCTGACAGCTCCCCTGGGCTGGGACTAATCTCCATCGAGGTGTTCGCTTCGGATAAGGTGTAAGACTCATGAGAATCACCGTCTGAGGTAGGCCAGTTCCCCGACTGTGCCGTATGTGCGACTATGCCCTGATCTACTCCATACGGCACTGGCGACGTAGAAAATTGATCCCCGCGGATAGCCAATCGCCCCAAGCGACCAGCGACTAGCGCTCGCGGGCTGTATCGACCCCAGTCCTCTGCTTCCCGGATCTTGGATTCCTGGGGGTTGGGGATTGAGCCGCTTGATGTAGGTGAAGCGGAAGGACTGCGGTAATCAGAATCTTCGGACGATGCTCGCTTACGTTTAGGCGATTCAGAGGACATCGTCGGCAGGGTAGTTGGCATCATCGCGGGGCTGGGATTCATTGCGAAGGTGGGGGCATCACATCGACCGCGCCGGCTATGGTAAAGAATGACACAGTAAGTGTGCGCTAAATAATAAAGCTAGCTTCTTAGTATCTTGACCAGAGTCATAAACGAAGCCATTATAACTAAGTAAATGGGGAGAGCACTGATGCTCGGGTCATCATATATGGTAGTAGCTGAACGAAGGGAAAGCGCAATGGGGTTGTCAGTCCTCGCTGGGGGGGGTTGAGAGGGGGAAGCCGGTCTGGGTGGTCATCGGCCCCTTCCTCCGCCCGGTGAATAAGCAGCGATCGACCCTGTAACTTAAGAGTAGTTAACTAGTTAGTAGCTAGGATTCCTCCGCTGTTGGCTCGGATTAGATATCCAGGATACGGTTGGTTCCTTTGTTTAGATCGCTACTGGAAGTCCGTCAAACCACTAGTACTTTATCGCTTACAGCCAATTGCCATGTCATATAAGTCTAGAACCAAAAAGCCATATCAGATTGGCAGCAAGAACTACAAACAAATTTTGGCACGACACAGGCCTCAATCGAATAATTTACAAGATACCCAGCCCATCAAGTCGTCAAGGAGAAAACAGAACATGGTTGGCAAGAATAATAAAGAAAACCCATCAACGCCGCGACAATGACGCCCTCCTGTCCCAAGACTCGGTACTTTTAAACCTTCTTCTTCTTTTTGGACGGCTCAGCATCGCTGTCGTGCTTCCGCTTCTTCTTCTCGGACTCGCCCTCGCCAACGTCAGACTTGCGCTTCTTCTTCTTCTCCTCCTTCTCGCCCTTCTCCTTCTTCTCCTTCTTTTCCTTCTTGTCCTTCTTTTCCTTCTTCTCCTTCTTGTCCTTCTTTTCGGCCTTCTCATCAGCGTCCTGCATCTCGGCATCGCTCTCAGCGCCGTCAATGTCCATATCAGCAAGGACAGCATCCATGGCGTTTTTCTGTAAAAACCATCAGTAAAGTTGTTACGAAGAATAGGGAGTTTTGATTCATTAGTGTAATAGCAATCACACAAGCTGTAATGACTTACCATGGCGACCTCGTTCTTGGTAGGGGCAGCACCAGTGGCGTAGAAGTCCAGACGCTCCTCGACCTGCTTCTTAAGGGCCTCACCGAACTTGGTGGAGGGCTCCTCGGAGAAGTTGTCGATTCTGGAGGCGATGGAGCACTTGTTGGCAAGGAAACGCGAGATGCGACCCTTGTTCTTGGGGCCAGCTCTTCCAATGAAAGAGGAGTGGTACAGAAGACCGTACTTGGGGGTGTTACCCTTGGTCTTCAAGGCTCTGAAGAGGGCCTTCTCAGCACCGAGAATCTGGACCGTAGAAGCGGGGTACTTGGACAGGTTGGTCAAGCTACCGGCGTGGGAGATCAAACGAGCACCAACGATCTCACCAATAAGGGCAGCAAGGTTGGGGGCGACAACGCTCATCTTGGAAATCAGGTACTGGTGGAGAGACTTGCGGTACTTGGACAGGCTGACAACGCGCTGGGCGAAAGAGATAACGTTCTCCATGTCGGTCTCGGAAATCTCCTGACCCATGCTGTGCTTAGCAGCGTCGATGATGCTCTGGGCGACACCCTCATCGTCCTCCACAAGGGCAGCAATGTCGTGCAACTTCTCGTCGTTCAAGCTCTTCTTGTCCTGAACGAACAAGGCAATCTGGGCGTAGCGCTGGTTGTCGGAGACGATCTTGTAGAGTTCGGGGAAGTGCCAGGAGTACCATTCCCTGACTCTCATGGAGAAAGTGTTGATGGCCTTGTCGAGCTGGTCGAGGATAGCAATGGCCTGGATGATGTGGTTGTCATCGCGCTGAACGGAGAACTTGACCTTGGCGCGAGAGTAAGCGTGACCAAGACCAAGCTGGGCGGTGTCCATATCACCCTCACGCAGCTGCTTCAGCAGCTTGGTGGCGTGCAGTCTGACACCACGAAGCATATCCTGGACGACTTCGCTGGTGTCTCCAGTCTCGCAGTCAACGAAAGAGAAGGCAGACTTGATGCTTCCAGCCAAGGCCTTGTCGGCCAGACCCAGAACAACCTTCTTCTTCTTGTTGGGCTTGGGCAAGTTCAATTCGAGGAAAGAGATCAGAGTGTCCGAAGCGACACCCTCGGAGACATCGTTGATTTCACTGAGAGCCTGCTTGTTGTTCCTGGAAGTTGTCAGAAACCTGCGGGAAAGTGCCCCTATGGGAAAAATTGAACCACATACTCGAAAGGCAGGAAACTGGACAGTTCGACCATTTTACCGAAACTGGCCAAGTCGTTAACACCTTCTTGAACCTCCTTCAAGCGGTTTCCCACGCTGTCACCCTGGTGGGCGACCTTGAAAAGCGAGTAGCCCATGGGGCCCTCGAACAGAAGGAAGTCGGCCATTGCGAAATTGAGGGAAGGGCCCTAAAAATTAGACAAAACGGTCCTTTACGTGCGACTTATCGTGGTCGCGTCTCAATTTCCCGGGGTTATGCGACCGTAGACCTGCCGTGGACCGACGTGGAGTTGAAGAAAAGCCTGGGAGGGTAGATTTGCAGAGTCGAGCCGTCGGAGCTCTTTTTTTTCGCGGCGGCGCTAGTGCGAACATCGAATGTGGGCTTTTTGCCAAAACTACAGCTCACCGCATTCGACGGCAAACACCACCAGGTTTGTGGCCGCGCGGGCATCGTCTTAGGGGCCCTACAGCACCAGCCAGCCTTATCTTTTTCTCCGGATTTCTTTCGTTGGGTTTTTGTTGCTTGTCGCTCTTTCGTGCTGCAGAAAATGTCTGCAACGCAGTTACTCAATCCCAAGGCCGAGTCGAGGGTATGCATGCAGTTATCCTTCTGCCCTTTACCCCCCCCCCCCCCAAACATTAGCCCCTCAGTGGTCCAGCAGAGACTAACAGTTCGCAGCGGAGAGCGGAGGCCTTGAAGGTCAACATCAGCGCCGGTGAGGGTCTTCAGGATGTCTTGAAGTCCAACTTGGGTCCCTCGGGTACCCTGAAGATGTATGTTCCAATTTACGATGGTTAATAGACAGATGCAGAGCTGACTGATCTCAGGTTGGTGGATGGTGCAGGCGGAGTATGAAATATTCCCTCGAGTCCGGCAATTCGGCATTTTCATTAACAATGTTGCAAACAGATCAAGTTGACTAAAGATGGAAATGTTCTGCTGCGTGAGATGGTGAGTGTCATCTACAATTAGGAATTATAAACTCCTATGCTAACCGGTACAGCAAATCCAAAACCCCACGGCTGTGAGCTAGACCTCCCTCCTCCTCCCCCAAACGCAATTATTAATACGGGAAAAAGGTTATGATTGCCCGGGCTGCAACGGCACAGGATGATATTACCGGTGATGGAACGACATCTGTCGTCCTGTTGGTGGGTGAGCTTCTGAAGCAGGCAAATCGTCACATCTCCGAGGGTCTGCACCCTCGTGTTATCACGGATGGTTATGAAATTGCGAAGAACGAGTCTCTGAAGGTCAGTACATCGGAATCCAAGATGGTCGGTCATCTACAATACTAAGCTATGGTGGTATATAGTTCCTCGAGCAATTCAAGCTTGAACGGACAGTTGACCGTGAACTCCTCCTTTCCGTCGCACGGACGTCGCTCAGCACGAAGTTGAACAGCGCTCTGGCCGAGAAGCTTACGCCTGATATCGTCGACGCCGTCCTTGCCATCCACAGAGCTCCCGAGAAGCCCGATCTACACATGATTGAGATCATGACCATGCAACATCGCACGTCCTCTGACACCAGACTTATCCGTGGTCTTGCTCTTGACCACGGTGCCAGACACCCCGACATGCCCAAGCGTGTGGAGAACGCGTTCATCCTGACCCTGAACGTGAGTCTGGAGTACGAGAAGTCTGAAATCAACTCTGGCTTCTACTACTCCTCTGCCGAACAGAGGGATAAGTTGGTGGAGAGTGAACGCAAGTTCGTCGATGCTAAGCTGAAGAAGATCGTGGAGCTCAAGCAACAAGTCTGCGGTACCGACCCCAACAAGAGCTTCGTTGTCATCAACCAGAAGGGTATTGACCCCCTGAGCTTGGATGTCCTTGTCAAGAACGGCATTCTCGCTCTCCGGAGAGCTAAGCGGAGAAACATGGAGCGTCTTCAACTTATCTGCGGTGGTACTGCACAGAACAGTGTTGAGGACTTGACGCCTGACGTCCTTGGATGGGCTGGCTTGGTCTACGAGCACCAGCTCGGCGAGGAGAAGTTCACTTTTGTTGAGGAAGTCAAGGACCCCAAGTCCGTCACTATCCTCATCAAGGGACCCAACCAGCACACCATCGCGCAGGTGAAGGATGCTGTTCGCGACGGTCTGCGGTCCGTTTACAACACCATCGTCGACAACTGTGTCATCCCCGGTGCTGGTAGCTTCCAGGTGGCCTGCGCAGCACACCTCACTTCCGAGGCCTTCCGCAAGACTGTCAAGGGCAAGGCCAAGTGGGGTGTCCAGGCTTTCGCCGATGCCCTTCTCATCATCCCCAAGACCCTCGCGGCCAACTCCGGCCATGATGTCCAGGACTCATTGGCAGCTCTGCAAGACGAGCAGTCGAACGGCAACACCGTCGGCCTGGACCTGACCACTGGTGAGCCGATGGACCCCATCCAGGAAGGTGTCTTCGACTCTTTCCGTGTGCTACGTAACTGCGTCGCGTCAAGCACGGGTATTGCCTCGAACCTCCTGCTCTGCGATGAGCTGCTCAAGGCCAGACAAATGGGCCGACAGGGAGGACCTGGCGGTATGGATGAGTAATGTGATGGCTACGTCTAAGGCGAGTTATTGTAAAGCGAGAACATCAGGTTCTTCCATATTCGGAATACCGGTATAGAAAAATATCCTACGTCGAAAATTGTACTTCACATACTTACGTATCCTAATCGATTTTAATCCACGAGGGAATTAATCGTGTTTCAAACCCGCTAGCATGTAATATTGCCTCGTTCATGGCTGCCTAAGGGACGGTGAGTGCTTCGACTTGATCCGTTGAAAGTTAAAATGTAGGCAGCGAGATAAAGTACCATGCTCATAGCACATGCAAAGTACTATTGTCGCTTGGCTGTAATGACCAGTGAATAAGAGGTGAGTGAGTTGCGTAACTTGCAGAGCTAACTCGCAATAGGTAGAGTTACTCTTCCGTTACAAGGTAGCATCCTAGAATGTGATGTTGTTTTAGAGGACT